ACTTCAGTCTGTTGATTAAAAGACCCTAAATATAGCCTTAAATGTACTGCAATACGCCCAGCCGACAACCAACTGCAACACGAATCCTGCCAGCAGAACAGTAATTTTTGTGATTGCTCAAGCAAATTAGGATTCACTTGCCTTTTTACATGACTCTACTTATGCAAACATTTGAAGCAATCATTCTTATATTGCCTATTTAAGTGTTAACAGCACCAAATTTAAACAGTTCTGAAATTGTTCCTACGTAGAAATCCTTATACACACACAATAGTCAGAGTTTTGACGATAAATTATGGCCAAGACATTTCAGATATTTTTACCACGTCTTTTCACAATTTTGAAGTGTATTCATAACAGATATGATGCCTCGTTGCTATGCCTTACGTTTTTTCATCAAATGTTGACAACTCCTCACATTAACTCATAATGCAGAGGTAATTTGTTGACTAGAGGATTAAACTTGAAACATTCAAATCAGGATAGTAGTTTTCACAATTCAACCTCTTAATTACGTATGTATTTTCCCGCAAGAACCGGTTATTTGAAAGCTATTTAAATGTATCGTGGTTAACGTTATGGTATAGTATAGTGTTAGTAGTATTAGGTTAAAGAGAACGCACCTCATCATTTTGTTAAACAAGTCAAAAAAAACTAAAGTAATGTAATGTAAAGTGCTTTTCATTCATTTTGGGTTCATTTTTGCCAAAAATATTTGTTCCTGGCTTTTAGTTGCATTGGTCCATTGGGTTGCAAATCCACTATGGCTTTATCCTGAGCTTTATTAACTATAATTTGTTACCCTAGTTATATAAACCACAGAAAACTTATTATCTAACGTTTAAATTGGCCAAAAGCTAATGTTATTCATTGAAAAATTGGGTTACAATCACTCCAAGCGAATATGTCCATTCGACAAATGCTCACATTGAGTCTACATTTAATTGTCTGCGTTTTATGAAGGATCAAAACATAGATAAATTAGCAAATGAGCAGCCATACATACTGATAGATGGCGCACAAGCAATTGACAAAAGCTAGTTGGTATCATCCAGATAATGTAACAGGAGATAAAGTTTGGATTATGGATTATGGTATTTTTCGACTATTGCCCTAATGTATGCATCACTGCATATGTAATGACAAAGACGCTTAAGATGAAATTCATTTTATTAATCAAATCTTATATCTGCAAATCCAGTTGGGAATCTAAGACGTTTTGTTAATTAAACAATATTTTAATAGCATAATCAGCTGGCACAAGGCACTTTAGTTCATGTGGATAGCCACAAAATTATTACAGATGGCAGTAAAAGTTGCACTTGTACCGTTTTTGTCAATTAAATCAGTATTTTAAAATGGTAGTCTAAATGGCATTAGTGTCAGAATAAAATTTCTACCTACTTTTAAATCAAGGTCTACTTACAGATGACACATATTCAACTAATTACTTAGTTATAATTTCACCCCAATTTAAAATACACTAAATTATAGAAAGAGATATAGTCTTTCTCCAGCATAATATTAAATTAATATTAGTCATGAAGTGATGGGCTTTACTCGGGAGTTTCAGTCTCATAGAGCAAACTTTGCTGAAAGTTCGAATTCGGAGCAAATGTTAAATGGGATATTTATTGTCTGATGTGTCCATATTTACAAACTCCATCATCCATACACAAAACTTTGCCCTAACTTAAGGTGGACACTGTAAATGCAAATTTTCTGGACTTGAAATACGTCCGTTAGATTCGTATAAAGCAAGTTTAAACACTAATCAAGTATTACAAAAGCTAAATCAAATTTTCCTTTGAAATAAGTGATACCACAAGAACAAAACTAATTAACAGACAATAAGAAGGCAAGTAGTCGAGGCCCTAACCTAAATAGGAAGGTATTTGGTGCATATATTATGAAAAATTACACATCAGCTGCAATTCACTCACAAAGTAACCCGTGGATTTGATCATATATAGTGTTTCAGCAGATAAATTATTTTCGTCACAAAATATCGAAGTTGCCGAATGTTTTTTAGGATGGATTCCACAGCCTTCAGACATTGGTTCTTTAGTTAATGCTTAATGTAAAAACGTGATCACGATGCAAGTCTTTTGAAATTAAACACAAGGTAAATTTTGCAAACCAGTTACATATTTTCTTTAAAAAACCACACAAAAATTAGCAAGAATAATCTAATTCCGTTCATAAGTGTCTATAGTTTTAGGTTATTCTACATCAAAGCTAAAATTGCATTTTACTCACAAACGTAACCATTGTAATTATTTAACGTATAATTATACTTGCCTAATAATAATTGGTAACATTACTCACGTTCAGAAAAGCCATCACAAAACTTGATCCAGCAGTAAAGGAATATATGGCAAACGCTGATTGGTAATCCACAAATAGTGCTACTGCTTTTAACACCCATTCGAACGAGCCAAAAATTTTCATTCCATGCGCTTATCTTTTACAGCTGCGTCAAGGTCGAAATATAGAAAATCAAACGCGTTAAACACCGATAAAAAACCCATGGATTTACAAATGCATCTTTTTTAATTAATAAGTAAAAATTTAAATTTTTAGTTGCATTGCTTTTGCATAAGCTGTACCTTAAAGGCTAGAAATGGCACAATTGAAAATTGGCAATCTCGTCAACACTAATATAATTCTCTAGATGGCGACGGCGTAAACTCTATTCAAGTCAGGAAGTAGGTATGAAAATGCACAACATACAAATTCTTATATTAACGTAAACTTCTTTAAAGAAAAGTATGACGGAAGTGGAATAACTATACATTACGCAACGAAACAATCCTCATGATTTCAAGGCTTTTTTTGTATTATAAAGCAATTTCGGGTTTTTTTTTACATTTCAACATGCTACTTAGATTTATTACTGACTTTTGACTGCATTTGCTTTTCTTCGAGAGTCCCTATCTATTGGAATCTTCAAAATAAACTTACTATTATGATTTATTTTAATGGAATTTGGGGAACTTAAGGCAAAGATGAATGATTCATTTCATTTTTTAATTGTTTAACGGAAATAAATTTTGTGAAGTAGTCAACAACTACATGCAACATCTTTTGGCTTATTTTTTTTGAAACTTTGGATACATTTTTATATAATCAAGCAAATCTCTTAGTCACAAAAATTGGTGACCGTGGACGTTTATATACAGTTCGCAAGAGCGAATTAAAAAAAGTGAATGCCAATATAATTCTCTTTTTGAAAATCTTTGGTTATGCTGACAGGGATTATACTGCTATGAGTCCAGTATGCGGTGTTGAACCACTCCGGGGCCACTGAATTAACTCTAGCACTGGTACCCGCGATGAAGAAAAAGACCGGAGAGGACGTAGACATTTGCGTGTGTATACTCACACAACAGATGTGTGAGTCACACATGAGCTAACATTTAGACATAGGTGGGAGGAGAATCCAAGGTAAATATCTGTGCGGATGAGAGGGGAATTGAGGATCTGCGCGGCTGGCAACATACTGCGAAAAGGAAAAATCCTTGTGTCAATTGATGGAGAGACCGGATTAAGGAGTGTGATTAAGCATGACTCACAATAATACCATTGACTACTCAGTTACAAGCTTATTTACTTTTGTTCGCCTCAGATTAGCCAAAGAATTCTTTCGTTAGGATTGTGTTAAATTACCAATTTAAGATATTCTACGGGAAGATTATTTAAATTGGTACTTTGTTAGAGCTTTCTCTTTTTTACAAAGTCGCCATTGTGCATGTTAATCACATTGAATTTCTAGCAACGCCATGGTTACTGCAACTCATTTCTGTGATATTTGTGATATCGCATCTGGCAAGATGCCAAACACTTTAAATTGACTTATACGTATAAATACTTCATAAAAAATGATTATATTGAGCTCAAATCAGACCACAGGATTATGTTAATTACACTGCATGCCGAACTTTCCTTTCTTCCTACTAAATCAGACTTTATTTGTAGGTTGATTAATAATTATGTGTACTCAGCTGGAAACCAAAGAAATTTTACTAGCTGTGTCAAAAAATCAACTCTGCTGTGGAGTTATATGTGATCTGTGCGTGTCAACGGTAAGTGGTACCAATGCATGGTTAGTGGGTGGGAGCCAAAGGTGCTAATCCTTATTTGCTACACCCCGAAGAATACTCAAGCTCTACAATACCTAAAACAGAAGTAACAGAGCAGGCTTAATTAGCCAAATTCCAACCATAACCTGCATCAGGCGCCGTCCACCCAAGTCCACTCAATTGTTTGCGCCAGTCATTACACAGTGCTTTCTATCCATCCTTGTTTCTGGTTGGTTGCTGATCTTCCTTGCATGCCATTTAAACACACAAACACAGAAGATTGATTGAGGTTAACGTAATCAAAATGTCAATATCCTAGAATAGTTCTGCTGCCTGTTGAAATAGATATCTAGTTATGAGCCTCTACAAAGAAGCCGCTGCTACAGACTCTGATGATGAAAGACTTTTGCAGCTGACGAATTTACTGCCACATGATTGCCAGACCTTGGTGTTTGTGGGTGAATAATTCAGCGGTCTTGGGTTGAATGCTGAGGTCTTTATTTCAACTTTGTCAAAGCCTCAAAATAAACTTGCACTTTGATTGATCGTAACCTGCACCGGCCAAAATAAGCTAAGAAAACAACGATTTTAAAGGCGACGTCCTATTGATTTCCACTAAAATGCGCATCATTGCTCTGTTTTGCTATATATGTCAAATTGCTTTTGCTGAAACACAGGGTATGATTGGTGCTCAAGCAATCATCTTTGCATATTTATCGAGAAACCGCAAAAACTTTTGTGATTTATCTTGAGCATTTTAAGTGTTATCCGCAATCTACCAAGGCGAGATCAGGTTTTGTTAGCAGCCAAAGTGTACGTCCAACCACCGACCGTTTACGTATCCTGTAAGCGTCAATCGCCGTCCTAACTATAAACATTTGTGCTTAAGGTGCCGCCTGTGTGCATTCGTCCACTCTGATGCGCCTGACTGGTGTGCTGCTAATTTTTTACTCTCTGACTGGGCAATGCCTCATTCCACACCCCGCATCGATTGACTACACCCAGGAGTACTACCGTCTTCCCAGTGACGTGGAGGTTCAACACAATGCACCTTACTGCTTCACCCTCCACGCTGCGATCAAGCGTCTCCTTGGGTCGTTTAATCTGAAGCACCTTGTTGGAAATGTAACTAAGCCCTTTGCAGGAAACATAACCCGGCTCATCCTCAATGTTTCTTCGGAATGCGATGAACTCTCTCAAGTTCTTTATCCTACAGAAGATTCAAAGGAAGCTTGTAAGTAGGGAAATAATGTTGAAGTTCCTTGTAGACAACGTTTCGATACGTAATGGCACAATCCTGATTACAGCTCCTGAGGTGTGGGGAGCCATGTATGGCCTAACCACTGTGGCACAGTTGGTTAATATCACTGATGGACGCGGAGTAAATCAATGGGCACTTTTGTAACACTTGCAATAGAATTATCTCCCTGGCGTGAAAATATCAGACTTTCCGAGATGGCCGTTCAGGAGTTTTCTTATTGACAGTTCGAGACACTTTCTTCCTTTAGAAAATATATTGCAATTTCTGGTGAGATTTGTTATGCCGGGAAAAAGTGCAACGCTGAATTTTCTAGGACGCAATGGCAACTGTCAAAATGAACGTTCTCCACTGGCACATTGTCGATGACACCTCGTTCCCCTATGAGTCCTACACGTTTCCGAAGCTTTCGGCGAAGGCAAGTTTCATTTCGAAAGTATTCTCTGAAAAAAAGTGCTCATATTATGTGATATTTTTCAACTTGTCGGAATAGTCCAAGAGTGAAGCCTTGAGAAATGGGACCAATGGAGTATTTTGGGGTTTTAAGGTACACCTTAACTACTCATGGTTGCCACGTCGTTGGAACGATTAAAAGGGGATATTAAAACAAAGGTGTTGTGAATTACGGTCGTTCACGTCTATCACCTCTTATATTATAAATGTCCTGGTTTATTGATCACCCTGGGTGAAAAATTGAGCAAACATCCTTCGCATGTCTCTCTTGCCGCAGCATTTGTTCCAACTTGCAACCACGAGCGATGCACTAGGGGTAGAAGAAAGACGACCAGCCAAGGGAAGTCAGAAGTGTATCCACAAGCTTGAATTGCCCACAAGGAGAAGGTAGTCAAGTGAATTAGTGTGGCCTTTTTTAAATTAACGGGGCCCAATGGCAGTGTAGCGCTAAGAATTGATGAGCCAAAAAGACCTCAGAGTTTACAACGGGCTCAGCTCTGATGGTGGTCAGCGCATATTCTCTTACAGCACATATTTTGTTTGCAGAAAAACGGAGGTAAATACTGTGCATAAATAGTCAAATCATTTGCTTTGCTTCCTTTGACAAAGTTCTTTCAAGTTATTTACATTTGACTCTCAAAATAAACGACACATGTGGCATCTACCTACTTTAGAAATGAATAACGCAGTACTTTGCAGCCCTTAATCCCCAGTCATATAAGTTCTCATTCTGTTGTCTAAGCATTTACGAAGACTTCGGAACTATGTAAAAGGTAGTCACAAACTCACAATTAAAAGCCGGTTTTTGGGATTTGATAACAGGTATTTTATCTTTAAAATCGTCTCTACATTTTATTCTAAGACACCTAAAAGCCCAGTTCGATGTCTGTTCTATTTTTTAAGGGCGCCTATTCTCGATCCTACGCCACTTACACACAGAAGGATGTACAAATTATCATTGAACATGCCAGATCCCTGGGTATTCGGGTGATCCCGGAATTCGACACACCAGGTACATTTTCTTTTAATCATCGATGATTCATCATGTGCAAAAGTTCTTGCATACCAATGGCATCAGATTCCCACTAACCGCTGTTCCATCTTGGTGGAAGCCATTTGTTAGTGCCGTTTCTTCGGTTTAGACAATTTATTTGTTTCCTTTTCTTACTTTAAAGAGTTGCAGGTAGTGGTAACGTCGATTTATGTACAACAATCAATGGCAGAATTGATTTTTGGGATACGAATGGCTAGCTGCTTATAAAATACATGGATTTCTCGAATACATTAGTCGTTACTATTGCCGTTAATCATCAAGTTTTAATATGTAACGGATCTCACGTAGTAGACGATATTGAGAGTCCCATGTAGGATCTACCAAGTCCACAAGTTAGTACAAAAATGAATCCTCGCAAGATCAAAAGATCAAATTTTATCTTTTCCTTTTTTGAGCCTATATACATAGATTTTATCAAATTAGTTCTATTAAACCCAAAACATGTTTGTTGTGGGCCCCAGCAAGTGGTCATGAACCACGCCTGGGCCACTGAATTAACTCTGGCCAGATTACGCTTCCCTGCTACTCGCGATGAAGAACAAGACCAGAGAGGACGCGGACGCAACCGTCTGATTCAGAGCTCCACCATGTTGGTGTCGTTGTGTCGCTTCTAGTGCCTATAATTGCTCTACAACTGGGCTCTAGACCAAGGCTTTATCTACAGTAATATGCACAGGACAGTTTTTTTGTGATCGCATATGTGTCTGTTAAAACTAGGGTTTATGTTGCCACTGAAGATACATTACAACATTCTGGTCACTCCTGTGCAATCGGGGTCCCTTTAGAGTGCCACTATTACTCGAATGTTGTCATAATCACGGAGTTCTTCTGAGTGTCCTAAAAGAGCCATCATTACCGTAATGTCGGATGTCAACCGGTATGTAGCAAAATTAGCGACCCAAGAGAGCCTTCAGTGAACACTAAACTTGTAAAACATTTTTGAAATTAAAAAGATTCGGAACCTCCTGCACCATATCCATGTTTTGCTAACCAGTGAACATTTTGGCGGTAAACAGCGCAAAAATTGAATACTAAACAGCAAACGTACGCAACAAGTATGGATGCTCATCGTTTTATACACTCTAAACAGAATTGAGTATAGTTGTCGCTCGTCAAGTGAGCAAATTTGAAAGCAGCAATCAGTGAGGGTCCGAATTAAAACAACGGAGAAATTAAGCCTGACATGCATTCAGACCAAATGGGTTTCAGGTGACTTAATTTCGATCCCGAAGGTTGCAAAACTAAGGTTTGTTGAACTAGATTTTGTAGACCTGGGTCACTTAGTTAAGCTTCAACAACAATTCTCAGAGCCTTTTAAGCGTAGTTTCATCGCGACCTCCAAACAATCCACTTGCTAGCTCGTCGAATGTCATTTTAAGGTTGTATTCGTATATTTAAATGCGTTTTTCAATCTCGACTACGTGACGGGATTCAAGACAAAAGTTCTGTCATGGTGACGGTTCAAATGCCCTACCTATTTATTCTTCAAGGTCACACACTATCTTGGGGTCTCGGATACCCAAACCTTCTAACCGCGTGCCACATGAAAGACAAACCCGAGGAGCCGTTTGGTCCCTTTAACCCCACAAAGAACACCACTTACGACTTCATGGGCGAGCTTGTAAAGGAAATTCTGAAAGTCTTTCCAGGCGATGCTATTCACCTTGGTGGTGATGAAGTTGATCACAAATGCTGGTAAGTCCAAAATCACCATTAGTAATCCTGTGGACTGTTCCCTGACATGTGCATGTAATATCGCCAAACGTTTTCATTACCATCTGACTGCCAAGTAAGTAATCTTTTCTGTTCTGTTTTAAAAATAATCAAGACGTGGTTGCCAGTCCTAGTAGCATGCTGATGCTCATTTAATAAAAGTTAGGTAGTTTGATTTTGATTATTGGGGTCCCAAGACGTAGTAATTCAATGCCAGTAGTAAGTATTTCTTCATTAGCCCTCTTTTAGTTAAGAGAGGACGTATGGTATTTAGAAAAGGAGACAAGCTGTACCATAGATTTCACATTCGTTTTCTAGTGTCTAATGTAACAGAGACCCAATGGGCACCAAATTTCCGGAACCCATTGAAATTGAAAATTGAGGAACAGGCTATAAAGTGGTATTTTACAAACGAATACAATGGGCTTTATTAAAACAAAACAATAGAACTTTTCTTTACAGAATGCCTAACTATCATTATTACCTATATAAGTCACAATTTGTCTGTAGCAAAACACTGTCTTTATAGACCAGCCTTTTGTGACTAAGGGATTTTAAGCATTAGTGGAACTTGGATAAGAATCTGCGTTATGACATTTCGCTGTCTGCCATTACAGGCAATCAAATCCAGACATACGTGAGTTCATGCAGAAGATGGGCTATGGCACAGATTACTCCAAACTCGAGAACTACTACATTTCCAATCTGCTTAAAAAGACAAAGGAAGTTACGGGAAAGGAAATCAAGGCATACGTGTGGCAAGAAGTCTTTGACAACAAGGCCGAAGTAAGTATGGATTTGACCATAGTATTTGCTACGGTTTACCAGTTCACAGATGAGATCCCGGTGTGCGAATCGAACCCGATGTTTGGCACGTCAACAACAAAACATTAACACGGACAAAACACCGAAGAGTCGCCGTTTACGCCACTGGGCTGCTTACTAGCTCAGCCAAGGAATAAACCCACGCTCAGATGCTGCCACTTATTGGCGTGAGCGGCTTTGAGTGCAATTACGATGAATAATATCTTCAAATATGAATGGACCAATAGGAAGGAGGCGGTTAATACGACTACAGATATTGGTGTGCGGTAACACAAATGACAAAAGAAAATTGTCAAAATCTCCAGAAGTATAGCCTTGGGATGTTGAATACCCAACAAAATATCTCTTCTGGTTTTGTGAGAAATCTTTTTGCCATTTTGCCCTTTTGTTTGTACAGTCAACGAGGTCTTAACAACATCCATTCAAATTAATTAATTCCATGTGGAGAGTTAGTAGCCCTGTGTTTTCTTGTGGTTTTCTACTAGAGAAGCAGTGGTACTGCATGACATGCTTTACTTGAAATTCCTAATGTTAGTAGAAGCTGGCTTTCATTTGTTTGCCAAACTGAGTGAAAGTAATGCTTAATACTTCACTATCAGACATCTAGTGACCGTCAAGCGAAATAAAAATGCCAACAAATCTAAGATTATTTAACGAAAATGGTACTGCTAGGTAATGGGTGGGAATTAAACGGTTAATAGAAAGTGGAGCAAAGGGAAGTACTGCTAACTCTAAAGTGAATCTGTTCTTCTTATAGTGTAGACACCAGAGCTTGCCAAGTCAAAAACGAAACATTTTGTTGCATGTTATATGTGTTTCGGGCTATCGGTGACACTAAGACATCATCTGAAGTGATTCGTTTTGTCATGTCAATCAAGCCAACCGTTGTATTTTCACACCCACCACCGTTCTCTGATTACGGCTTCCTAGCGATCATGTGAAAACGTCTGTTCATACACCTGTGTGCGTGTATCACCGCCACTCATTTCACTCATCCGGCCATGCAGCCATTTGCACTTTTAAGAGTTCACCTAGGGTATTTTGATCGAAAAACACATGTTTGTCAGACATGACCTTTTATGCACAGGGGACGACACAGCTTGGCTGAGTCATTTACAAAACGGTTGAGCCCGGTCTTCTTAGTTTCCCAGGTATCTGTGTAGCTCAATTGGAATAATTTAACCAAATTCACAACTGTGCATATACCTGGGATGTAACCAAATGTTGTCAAGTGAAGTAACGTTGTGCGAACCATGAAGACGATTCTCAATGAAAACCTAAGCTCATGTAGAGTGTGAAACTGGACATGCTGAAGTGCTAGTCAGACAATAGTGCGTTCATCACGTCGTGACATCAAGCGCAAAAATGTTTGCCAAGGTGTGATTCAGAGACCCCTGTAAAGTAATGGCGGCTGCTTCTGCGAAATATGTCGTAAATCGCGTGGCAGTAACAAAAAATAACCGAATATATTCATCTAGCAATGTATGTCTGATTCGCTACAAAAGCCAGTTCCACTAAACTAGCCATGTTTTATTAAATTCAGCTTGGGAGGTCAGTAATCATAAACGTCTGGAAAAGTCCATTTTGGAGGAATGAATTGGACCTTGTGACCAAATCGGGGAGAGAAGTTGTATTCTCGGCCTGTTGGTACCTCGATTACATCAAATACGCTGAGGACTGGATTGAATATTACCGGTGCGACCCAGCATCATTTACAAGTACGTCTGTGTTCTCCATGTCTATCCTAAACTGACTAGCAAAATATGCTGGCTAGTCACTTGTAGTCACATTTAGGCAAGAAAAACACACTACAGCAGCCTCCAACAAACTCATTTTCGATAATGCAAACTGAATATCTGCATTTATTATTTTTTGTGGTTTGGTAATCAAGTTATTTCTTTCCTCGATTTACTTAAACTACACCCAATGCCTCAACTATCATTCAATCAATATTGCTGATAAGAACAATTTTTGTGATATTTCCCTAATTCATACTTAGGTACATATGCGGACTAGAGGGCTTTTCTACAGATTAAAATTGTGCAAGTCGATGGTGCCGTAGTGCTTTTTAGCGTATAGTCATTCAGAAATAGTCGCTGTCTACAATGACACGAACTATTGGTAAAAGAACTTATTGGTTATTGCAATTATTTTCCAATACAAACTCAGATAAACGCAAATGCAATTCCCTTAGTGGTACAGACACCAATGTGTACATTTTAACTTGTCCGTTGAAGTATTAGACTATTTGAGGAATCTCGTATCAGGTGAAATAGCCAGAATTAAACATACAATTACATTTCTTAGCGCGTTGGACAGAGGTGTGATCAGTTTCGTATTGTTAGAGTCCTACAATCTTCTAACTTTTGCGCTTAATTGAGCAAGTAAAAGATGGTGTGACAGACTGATTGCTCAAAGTGCGTAAATTTATACAGAGGTCAAACGTTAGTTCAAGCTGCACACAATGAAATGAATTATTCAACGAATGGTATATGCGTAAAGAGCAAAAAATAAGTGTTGTGCCGGTTTGCCTTATCTAAGATCAGTTTTAGCCAGTATCCCTTTACAGGAGGATATCTAACTCCAGTGACATGGTTAAAAATATCTTCCAGTTTATGTCAAGGCTTTACGATAGTTTTTCACTCTTCAGACAACACCGCACAACTTGCACTGCTAAAAGGTGGCGGGGCAGCAATGTGGGGTGAATTCGTTGATGGAACCAACTTAATTTCAAGGTCTTGGTAAGGCATCCTCGAAACCAATTGTATACCAATCCGTACATCCCTTGTTATTGTGGAATCTACAAAGACCGATATGGTTCCCATCGCTCCTGCGTTTAAAATGCAACTATTTTGATCCATGGCCTTTTTGCTTGAAATCAAATAAGAAATATGTTTATCACAGCCAAATAAAAGGTAAACATCACCCTTGTCTAGGTTATTAATTACTCAAATTTAACCAACCATGAACTTCCTCATAATTGCCGTGTTTTGTGGACGTGAATATATTATTAGCAAGCATTTCCATCCTTCAAAATTCGCATTGAATTGTGTAACGTTTGTTCTGATCAACATTATGTGTGCAAACGTTAAATAATGACCAAATTTGACTAATTTCAGTGCAAAATTGACTAAGGGGCATTGTCTTAGATGCGCGCTAGTGATATTAATTATGAACACTCAAAAGCATAGCACCATTTCTACATAAATATTAGCAATTTACAGCACTCTATGCACTTTCTGAGCCTGCATTCCTCATGGACTTTTTTGTAATGTACGTTTTACTTGTTTGCTAAACATTACTGATAAATTTTAGTAAAAGAAAGAGTTGAGACTAAATAAAATAGCCGTTTACTTTAGGCCCCGAGGCGCAGTAGTAGCTGAACGCACCTGGAGTCCGGCTTCCATCAAAGATGTTGACGATATGCGAACTCGCCTCAGGAACTACCGCTGTTTTCTTCTCTCGTAAGTTATCAAATCGAATATTGTTTTAGAAAATAATATTATGACAGATTTATGCCAAACTGAGATTTTCCATCATCAATATAGCAAAATTTCGACGAATTTTCGCAAATACGTCCGCCAAAGTGGTGACTGTGATGCAAATGGGACTTAAAACGATTTTTTCACCTGGTTTTCTTTTCCTCCACATGGCTGTATCAAGCTTGAACGGGTTGGTTTTCTTCGACGGACCGTCACATAAAATGCGTTGCGCCATAGTACACGGCGATTTATAACTAATCAGTTGCAAGATTGTTGAAGCGATCTCATTTTGACCATTTACCCTCTGCGCACGCGATTTAGGTACTACCATCCCATTTTTTCTTGTTGTGGAAATCTGCATTCACAGCACGAATTGCAATAACGGCCAGTTACGTAATCGATAGATTTGTTATACGTCTGTGTGTATTCACTAAATAACATCCGACTTCAAATCACTTTAATTGGTGTATTTGCCAGCCAATGAAAATGGGACCAAATTTTAATTAATGGCCTTGACTAAATCTTAGCATCAACAGTGACACTATTTTGCAGATTATTTCTGTTGCTGTCAGGTTTCAGTCCGAACGAACGATTTGTATGTTCTGCCGGCTGCTACAACTGACTAATAAAGATGTGCAGTAGCTTGTGCTGAGCCCTACATTAAAGGCCTCTATCCAACAGCCAGAAACAACCCGGGTAGAGTGAAACAAGAGGCGACAAAGGCCACGACCGTTTATTAGCGTCACGCCCGCCAAGTGTTTCTTTGTTTGCGGAGGCGTGGGCGGATGACAGACATCTGATAACAGTAACCAATGAAAAGGGGATGAGTCATTGTAAGTGTCAGGTGAGCAAACAGGCTTCACTCAGGCGCGACCGCTGTTAATCCGCTAGAGACATAACGGAATTAAAACGTACATATTTATGACGATAAATGTATTAAACTGTTAGGTTCTTATCCGATGAGTTTATGCAAAGGCTCGAGCTAGTAATAATTCGGCACTCGTTGCTTGACAGGTCGAAGACTTCACAAAATAACCGGAGACTTGAGGTTGTGATAAAAGCTTTACTGTCTGAACCAGAGGTTAGAGAACAAGATGGGGCCAAAAGCTGAATTCAAAATAGAAATCAAATCGGTGCTCAGAAGCGCTCAATTATTTATGTTTGGGCTATATCAGATTGACGAGTTGAGTAATTAACACAGCATGATGAGTTGTTGTTTGTGTAAACAACGATGTATTTTGACAGCAGAGTTGTAATTCCATAACCAGAGCTAAATGAATTTTGTTGTCCTCGACAATCTGGACATCCTAAGCAGGCCTCAGCAGAACTGTCGTTTGGTACAAAAGGAACACGGCATAATGACCTCACCGTGTAGCAGTGACTACTTGGAATTTATTTGACAATGTGAACTAATTTTGTACTACCATCTTCTTTAGAATGGGACTTAATGCAGAACCTTCAACGGGTCCTGGTTATTGCAACCTCATTTGAATGTGCAGTCACCCACCTTTCGTGAAGATTCAAGGGTTTCTCCCTATTCAAATCGGACTGAATTGTGCCCCATTGGTGTTCTACTTTGATTCCACATATTTATCGCGCAGTAAATGAAGCAGTTTTTTGATTTCCTGCAATAGTTTTCAATGTAAACTCAAAGTAACACGTAGCAGGATCGAGAAAGTGTTATGACACCTCCATTGCCAGTGATACAAACTGAAACAAGCCACTTGCTTTAGACATTGATCAATACGTTTAGGCTACCGTTATTTCCTTCAAGTTTGTCATTCTCAATAATATACTTAAAAAAATATGATGCTTGCGTCTTGTTCAATTTGATAAAATTTTGCAAATATATATTTCAGTTTGAGGTAACGAATACGAAATCTACTTCTGGCTGAAAATGTGGCAATTCAGGAAAAAAAAGGACTGAATTCATGTATATTTACGTAGTTAGGGCAGTGGCTATCGTAACCAGATATAAATAATTCCCCTGTTACTGGTGTCCGCGTTTATAACAACACAGAATACCACCATTAGTTAAGACAGAATATAGGCAGACGAATTTACGCTAAATGAATGTGGTAAATTAACAGATTGTGGAGAAGAAAGAGTTCGAAATTTGCAACGAAAAAAGGATGACTAAAAACACATGAGGGCTTTCAATGTAGTGAACATAGCAGAAATTTCGTACAGATTCAAAAGAGAAATTATGCATGTGCAAACACAATGACAACCGGCATTAAGAACGACAAAACGGCTGCATGTCGTTTTCACGCAATCATGAGCGAGGAGCATTTGCGCACTTAATTCACCAAAATAACCCAACTAGTCGTGCAGTCCATTTCATCCACTAAGCGATTTTGGCCCATGTAGCCAATTCGAACATATTCAACGTAATGATTTGTACCTGTGCAAACCAAACACCACCTCCCAGTGTTGAGGCTCGATAAAATGCCACAATGGCAAAAATGGCACAATGACGACTCACAAGAAGAATACATGCAACGCATTAAACTACCCCAGACTACAATACACCCGCATTCACTTTGTCTACCGACTAACACCGACATTTCACCCATTACCGTCACCCATCATTCTCGTGGGCAATTTTTCACACGTGGAAAATAGTAGCTGTGCAGTAGCAGAGGTTGACCATCAGGAATCAGTATATTGACATTTGAATGCTCCAATTAATGATGCATATTAGCAATGTAACTAAGTTCTTAGTGAACGAACGCGACACGACAACTTCATGTCGACATGAAATGCACTCATTGAAGCAGTCGGCAAGTAGTTAGTGAAGACCATCATTTCAACAGCTTGACATCGTGCTTTAAAATCCAAGTATGTGGGTGTGTGCAGGACGCCAGTCAGTTGTGCAATTCAGAATTGCCAGAAGAATTATCACATGACTTGGTAAGGTGTAAAATTGTAGGATGGATCTGCACACACAGGCCAGGCCACTAGTGAGTTGCATGTCTACATGATTCCACACTTGCCACTGACACATGCAAGTCAAGTCAGCGATTCAAGCACCGTATTTCTCTGTACGATTGCATGCAGATAAAAGTAAACCTAGCTGAGTATCTCGTCTGCGGCGTACATGTCACTGTATCCTGCTGCACATGCAAGGCTCCCATCAAGAGGCGTGTCGATATGACGAAGAGCGTTGCGTGCCCTCTAGCAGCATCCATGATCATTGTGTCATTGCAATCCCCAACACTGTCTGGCGACATCAGCCACACACACGACATGCAATTATTGCGATTGTTGGAAGGCGTTTGGTCTACAATGGCACTGAATGGAAAATTATGCGAGGGCAAGTGATTGACAATGCCAGGTACGCAAATTCCCCTCAGAGTAACAGTAGCAGTGTCACAACATCCTGGTTTCATCTATGCACGAGGGACTCCCACCACGGGCTTCTTCCACTTCCGAACCACACACACACACACATTGTCCTTCTTCAACAACAACATCGAATATACGTGGCTCGTCTTTCCACAACTCACACACACACACACAATCTCGATGTTTTGAATTATTTGAGCAATTCGTGCCTACGACGTCAGGGCGCGTAATTCAACAAACTTGGCTTCGACTGTTTATTCGATCACACCATGCACACATCTCGTGCAATTCACGTAATCATGTTTGGCGAGCGAGTGCAGTTCAATGTTGAAGTGAATAGATATGCAACCACGGGCTGAATGAGTAGCATTTACCCTGTGGCAGCACAATGTAGCACACCGTATTGAAAGAGGATTGAATCAGAAGAGGGATGTCGAGACAACCGCTTTTTCGCGAGCTCTGCCAAGTCGTTGTCGTCGTTGTTGTCACCGTTGTTGTCGCCGTCATGTTTGTCGTCGTTGACGTATGTCAGTGGTTGCGTGCGAGGTTGCACCGTGTTGATGTTTTCGCGTGTGAATTAAGAGATTAGAAGTGTGAAGCAGTGCGAGCCATCCGTGTGCAAACATCCGTACGCAGGTGAATGTTATCAAATTAAGCGATAATCCCGAGGTCATTAACAGCGCGATTCACACCACAATTAGCTCTTTTGATGTGCAAACGGAGACACATGCATGCCCCTTCTCCCTGCCACCTCAATCCGTCCCTGCCTTCAATGTAACAAACACAAACGCTGCGACCCATCACCTACCTTGACACCTCGGCGTTCATCACTTGGTGCAGGTGTTAACAAAAAACGTGAAACGTGCTACGAAGGTGCTAATCACGACAGCCTGACTGACAGTTGCACATGTATATAAAGAGGCAGACCAGACGCATGAGGAAACCTTGGTGCACAATGTGGAGGTGGATACTAGGCGCTGACAACTGCAGTTTTCCGCAGACCCGTGTGTATGTGGACCGCGAGCACACGCAATTGGAGCGCATGAAGTCAGCAGATAGCTTGACTCTCGACGCAATCTTGCCGAATCGGCTAAATTTCGACATAGTGGTAAGAGGTGACAGAGCTTTCATTCGCCTTAGCCCTTGATTTGGCCGCGGTATCGGCAGCAGCGGAGTAAGTCTACTTTGACATCAGCCTCGCCTGATCAAGATCACCACCAGCATCGCCGAGCATACTTACAGCTCGGTGAGCATGTGGGCGATGAGCACACGTTGGTTGATTAGCCGCCGCAGAAGTCAACAAATAGCCAAGTGGAGAAACATTATTTTGGCTGTGATCCACGCATGTTAGACTCAGAGGTAAGACGTGACACAGCATTCATTCGCCTTAGCACTTAATAGGCCTGCGCGAGGCTACTTCCGTCTCAACGCATCAAATTGCAGATTTCCAAATGCACCAACAACACCACCAGCATCAGAAAGCCACTTCACGTGACGCTCGGCGTGTGGGATTCGAGCACACCGATGCTGACAGCCAGAAGTCAACAGATAGCCCAGGTGACATCAATTGTGCGTCGGAACCGCCGGTATTGCAACCAATGGTAAGAGGTGACATAGCTTTCATTCGCTTTAGCCCTTGTTGTCTTCGCGTGCAGTTACCTTGACTGCAATGTTTCTGAGCGTTTTTCATCACAACAACAGCAACAGTCGCAAATCATTTCCTCTCGGTTCATTCGACTCTGCAGAAACCGAATCTCCAGTTGACTCAATTCAACCCTCGCCATTCTAGACATCTCATCGATGTTCATTTGTAAGCTTTAGGGGTTAAAATAAAGTCTTCACCCATGTTTTGCACATTGACATTCGTGTTTGTACTCATCAATAGACGTCGTGATGTAGACACTACGTTGGTGGTTTGGTTTAATGGGATACACATAGTGGGGTATCATAATCTCTCAAATTTCTGACACACCGTTGCTTACTTCGAAGGAAATATCGCCTTCATCATAGCGTTTGGATCTGCATTCAGCTCTTTTATTGATCGAATCCTTTGGCACTATAACGGGCTCTCCAGCTTCCAAATATGCCTCATTTTATGCCTAATGTGTTGAAAGTAAATGAGGCACTTCGTCGTTCATAGCCTTTTAGCCACCGGGCCACTGACGATGGGCTCCCTTATTTGACGCGTAAGACGCCCCTTTAAACTGGCTTGCGATTGCATTCAGGCAGACAAATCACGTGCGATTGGCCTAATGTGGGCCAATTCACAGTATCTGCCACTGAAATTGCCAGTTCCTGCCACTTTCCCGCACGTGCGAAAATGCCTAATGACTAGGTTGCATCAGTTGACATTGTTGTTTATGGGATGCATAGTGGGCATTGGTAGTAGCAGTAGCAGTAGTGGTTTTGGTTGCAGTAGTCGAACGGCAGCAATGATATAGTGTACCACATGAAGTCCATGCGATACGGCGTTTGCAGTGGATGTGACGCGCTGCTGTTGCGAGATACGTAGAGCGTCGTTGACACGGACACTGCCACCACATCCGCCGAAATGCACCATCATGCTGCTCAAACACCAACCAACGTGAGTAGGTACATTCAGCCGTGCCATATCACTTCGCTTCCATCAGTCCATTACCTAGTTTGTCTAACTGCGCTCAAACTGGAACACATTGCCACAATAGTGCAGATCGCAGGCCGTTCCACAAATCAATAACAGAACGCATGTCATTTCGAAGAAGTATACCATCCACTTGCAGTCACTACACACATCACGCTTGGTCACTTGCCATTGTTTCACATCTCGTAGATGACCTGAATGGGTGCTTCACTCACTTAGCTAAGATCATGTCAAGAATGTAAAAGCAGTTTGATTTGCTTAATGTTTACTTAGTAAGTGCAGTTGCTGTCGCAACTCGACATGCCTGAAGCTTTCGATTCTTGCGTCCGCGTTCACCCAAGCACCGCACCTTGTCGAGAGTGTGTTTAGACAGACTTTAGATGCGGTTCGGGTTGCTAAGAATAAAAAGCCGTCGAATTCGCACCGAAACGTGGTCGTCAGTTAACAGATTGCGATGTAGACTAGAGTTTGGTGATTTGTGCAAATGAAGAAGAGATTGGCTGATATTGGTGTGAAAATATCCCTTGATGGGAACGCCTAATCTAGACTAATTCATTAGCAAGTAACGCAGTCCAAATTTCGGCATCTAGAAGAAATTTGAGAAGCAGTCATATAAAAATTGCATCCTCAAACTGCACAATTCTGCTTCAGAATATGTCTATCACATAAATAAAAATCTTGGTGGTGGCGTGCGGTATGTGGGCATTGGCAGGTGAATTCAGCCTTTATTCTACTTCCATCAGTGGAACCTGTCAGTGTGAAACGGCGCTAGTCTTGAATGTGCAAACATCGAGACCTAGGTGAATGGCATTATCACGTGTGGTGATAATGATGGTTGCACGTTCGCGATGATGAGGTGTGAGTTGAGGTGCCGCTCGCCCGACGACTTGTTGTGAAACTGGGAATGCGTGTGGCACAATGAGCGACCAAATTAACGCGTGTCAATCAACGTGATCCACAACCGCGTAGATGAATGAGGCTTCTCTTCCATGTACCTTCGATTTGGAGGATCACTTTCATGTGTACATTTCTGGTGTCATAGACATCATAACCCACACAAAGGAAATGGGTCAGGAGGCAACTGAGACTCGATTATTGATTACGTCACCGAACGCAATTATGTGAGGGTGTGCATATATTCAAAACTGCAGTGACTCAACCAGTCTGGATTTCTTGAAGGAAAATATGTGTCAAGTGACAAAGAGCAGGCAATGTGCACACGTTAAATGTCCAGCTGGGTGTAATGGCAGAATGCTAGTGGTTGCCAATATAATCATTAATCCATGCAATTGCACCAGGTAAATAGCACCAAATGTCATTGAGACAGAATCAGCCGTATACACGATGATAGGTCTGGCTCTATGGGGTGGTTTCCAAATCATCAATTTCCATCATCACCATTCGCCAGAGTGATTAGTACGAACTTCATATTTTCACAGATTTGCGTTTATCAGTGTACTCTGAATACATTCTCAAAGTACTGCATGGCGACTTTTAACGCTTGACATCGCACATCACACCGCAAAAAAAAGTTAAAATAAAGTCTTCACCCATGTTTTGCACATTGACATTCGTGTTTGTACTCATCAATAGACGTCGCGATGTAGACACTGCCAAATGAAGTACTTCTAGTGCGGTATTTCAATCACTTGTAGTGGGCCCCGGTGCGGTTTTTGAAACCACACCAGGGCCGACAATCTACGTTGTCTGGGCCGGACCGAATGAAGAGCGGAACTGCAGAAAAAGTCAGCAGCTTAACCAGTTTATGAAAGCAGTTTTGGAGTGTGTCGATGTACAGGATTTCAAATGCGTTTATATGGCTTTGCTTAGCATTGATCTCTGAACGCAGCTATTTGCATGGAGTTCATTCACGAATAATCGAATGAACTGTGTTCACTTGTGCTTGTACACTGCGTTAGCTCACGACTGTTAACTGCTCGCCACAAATTCCGATCTGCGACACCTCGTTGCTTACTTCGAAGGAAATATCGCCTTCATCATCGTGTTTGGATGTGCATTCAGCTCTTTTATTGTTCGAATCCGCTGACACTATAACGGGCTCTCCTGCTTCCAAATATGCCTCATTTTATGCCCAATGTGTTAAAACTAAATGAAGCACTTCGTCGTTCATAGCTTATTAGCCACTGGGCCACTGACGTTGGGCTCCCTTATTTGACGCGTATGACGTCACTTTTAACGGGCCTAAGAATGCTTACGGGAAGACATATCATGTGAAATTGGCCTGATCTTGGCAAATTCACTGTATCTTTCACTGAAACTGCTATTTACTGCTGGTTTTCCACATGTGCGAGAATGCCTAATGACAGATTGCGTCAGTTGACACCGTTGTTGCCTTCGTCCGCTGGCGTTCCTCAAATAGGGCCTCTAATTTACCAACTGCGCATAATGTCGTCCAATGCATTTCATTCTAAACCTGTTTGGCGTCTTTAATTGTAACGCACTTAAACCTTGCCTTCTGTGGTAGTGCACGTCTCTGGGTCCTATTTTGGTGCGCGGTCCATTTCGTTTCTTGAGGCGCATAGTGGGTGCATTCGTTATGAAATTGGTAGTAGTTTGAGTAGTAGTATTAGCAGTAGCAGGTGATAATGCTGTCAAAGTTGCGAATTATTTGGTCGTCTGTTAACATATTGCGGCGTAGACACGATTTTCCGGGTTTTTGCAAATGACGAATTGAATTGGTTGCATTGTTGAATATATCACTCAGTTGGAAGTGCAGGAATAATGCTAAATCCTCAGCCAGATAACAATTGTTTCAGAATCTGGATGAAATGCGAAAAGCATTCGTCTAAGAATAACTTCAAGAAGCTACTTAATACTGCAAAAAAATATGTCCATCCCATGCGCACGTTTAGCTTAGATCTACCTCAGCAGTATCGCATGTTAGTCATTTCATCGATACAGAAGGGATTCGTGTTAAATATATCGATTATTTTTAATCTACCACTGACCTGAGCACATTTACTTGAGATAAATAATCAAATACATGAAGACTATCCCCGTTTCTGATCACTTGAACACATCCTGTATCAATCAACATTTCTTAGACTAGTTCTTTGTTCACAACTTGTTTAGGCTTAGAGATCGAGAGATGTCTCCTGTAGAACGATGCTAACATATAACAACCGAGTATGTGTATCAATCACCCAGCTGTCTGGCTTCACTTTGTGTCACTCGAATACTATGGCTGACGATTACACTGTACATGTGTAAAAGCAACGACAAATTAGTATAGTCTTTGATCTGGCTATTCTAGATAACAGTAAGTTTGAGAAGATAATATAATTCTCTAATATTTTTTTCATGGTTAATGTCGAACACATGTTTCGGAGCCTGATAATCAGCATATAATTTCTCACCCCCAAAAAAACGATATTGCAAAATTCCTTTTTTGCACACACACTGTTCAATTCACATGTAGCTGACAATGTTTGTGCTCGCCTGTTTCCACAAAACAAGTCTACAATTTTACATTTGCAAATTTCTTCGACATTGCATAATGTCGGATTTCTAATTAACAAAAGCATTTTTGTGCATAGTGGTGTATTCTTTGTTGTTGTTCGTAGTTTCAATTTTTGAGACATCTGATTTTGTGCTTTGTTTTATTAATCTGTGTGCGGTCAGTCTTGTTTAATACGAAACCAAATCCTACGGAAACCCCGAAGACTAATATTGACGTTTCTATGTTAGTCAGTCAGTCACCATTCCAGATTGATTTGCGTCCGGAAACTCGAAAAAAGGGGTAAATCTGATTTTGATCAATTGAAAGTATAATTTATCTATTATTTCTCATATCTATCTGAAATTTTTACTTTGGTATACTTTGCTCTTGTTCCTCTTCGGTTTATAATGGACTTCGACTTATTAATGTAGTAAAGATATTTGCGCAGCTACCTTCGATATATGTGTGGCTGATTAGACGGTTAAAAAATGAATGTATAATTTGTTCAAGTATTTACCTGATTGTTTCAAAATAGCTTCTGTTTCCTTCGAGACCATTTTATGAATGCGAAGTAAACTTGATTTTATTTTGTTAACCAACGTATCTACTTTGTTGCTTACGCAATAAATTAGATATTTAGTACATGGACATCCTCTGTGTTTTCCTCCTTCTTCAAATACTGAAATGCATTGTCATAAGTGTGAAATCTTTCAGCCACAAATCTCAGAACACGCAAACGGATCCATACAAGATTATTCACCGTGGCAATCAAAGTCGACGCTTTTTATCAAAGCCAGTTAGTTTGTTTTTAAGCGTTTCGGTTTACTTTTAGACACAAACAATTGACATTGTTCCTGAACTCACCTCAGATTTGCTGTTATATGATAAAGTTGCCTTGCAGAATTTTCTAAATCGTGTTGGTCCTGTTATCATTACAAATCTAGAACGTAACTTAAGAAGTCGAGCATGGCAACAGCCCTGTAAAGCCACGTTCGATCCAGCGGAGACAGATACAGAAGCTGTCTTTCGGTTACAATATTCTTCTTCAGTGTTAGGCCTCGTAAATATGGCTCATCAGTTTTACTGGTCACCAAACTTTTAGAAATTCAGCTCAAATGCTGTTGCTTGGAATGAGGCTGGGACAGTTGTGGCAGTTGCGTTTCCTTTTATCTTTACTCATTATGTTCCAATACTCTGTGAACCTTTATCAATGCTTGTTCAAGTAATTGTAGCACCAGATTGTGCCAACTTAAGTGGGTTTCCATATTTCTGAATCGTAATATGCTCGAAAATCTTGTTGGTAAGAGTGCACTGATAATTCCCAGAAAAAGGTTTTAATCTGCAGTAATGCCAATCTTCTGCTGCTAGTCCTTTTCGTTGAGGAACTTTTTAAGGTAATATGCAATGGTAAGAAATCACATTTAGGAAACTCAAGGCAGACCCATTCAATGTAGGACGATTGTAATCTACCCGAATGGGTTTCGCAATTGCTGTTCGGCCAAAGATACAAACACGCACAGATATAAATTGTGTTGAATGTATTTGGAGGGTAGTTGCTGTTTCATTTTAATGCATTTAGTACTCATCAGTGGGTCCATTATAAGATGTCATTATAATGTTTATGCTATTGGATTGATGATGGTACCTCTGCTTCACTAACTACGTAAATGCACTAGCAGGACCCTCAGACCACTTCTAGTGTGGATTGAGGCACGCGTATGCATATTTTCTGGTTACTTCTGAGTCATTTTTCTCGTTCTTGTGTGGTAATTAAATGCTTGTGTACTTAAAATGACCTACTTTCACTTGTCTAACTCCTCGTACACGTCGATTGGAGAAGTGTTCATGTATTTACACCTTAACTCCAACCCATGACTACAGATATGGCCAGGCTTTCCATGAAACCTGGTGCACTCACACTGCCCATCTAGCTTTATGGAATATCACCAAGGGGAACCTCAACTGCACCAAACCGGATTACATGTTTGAAGCAAATTCGTGTATTTGTTCAGTTGCCTTTTGTAGCGAAGATAAATCTTTAGTGGCTTGCGGAACAGTTTCTGGTGAGTGCTTCCAAAAATGAAAGAAAGCTATAGTTGATAACCTAGGATAAAATGTACTTTTCCACGACTAACTGGATGTGTGGTTTTGATTTTTATTTTAATTCAAGTGAGAATAAGTCGTTTTGCCCTCTTGAGTCCCACGGCAAGCTCAAGATCTATGGAGTTTAATTGAATTGACTTAGGTCACATTAATGCATCCTACATCTAATCAGCAAATTGTTGAGAGAGTTTTGACCTGTTAACTTGACTAATCAGATCAAATCGGGACCATGCTAATACAAAATCCTAGGATACGATAGCAAAACACGGAAATTCAGTCCTAAAATACGGGGTTTGCCCCGTAGCATCCGCCTGCAGCGTGTACATGTCAGCATCCAAACCTCTCACATGCCGTTATGTATTAGCCTATTTAAATGAAATTTCGGCGTGTATTTTGCGACCGCAAATATAGCCAGGCAGACATTCGTTATCTACGCAAAAAACGTTGTCCCTTGTTTCCGCAGGTGAACTCGTCATTTGGACGCTGTCGAATGAGCTAGATAGTCGCGTGAGCGCCTGCGGTTGTGTTGAAGGTGGACATCAGGAGACGGTGAACAAAGTGGTCTGGATTCCCCGTGGTGACTTCAACGCCCGTTCACCCGTGCTTACTGAACACCACCTAGTGACTTTCGGAGCTGATGGTCGCATCATCTGCTGGAACCTTCAATTGGGTCATTCGAAAGCATCCGCCCTGAATTTGGTCAAAATGTAATCGGTGGCTTTAGATACTTTGCACACAAGATTGTTTTATCAGAGCACCCCAAAAGTCTCTCACATTTTCTTTGTTTCTATTGCGTCCCCTTTTCTAGACTTTAATTTTAAGGGACTAACTCATACGTGATAATGGCGGTTTCTAGAGTCGATCGTGGCTCAGACTTGTCGATTTGCCCTTTATTGATATAATCAGTAGTTTTAAAGACAATATGGCTTGAGAGTCATGACATTATGTTGTCAATATTTCTATGATTAAAATAACCTCTTTTGAAGGCGCTTTTCACCGTGTATTGTTTTAATTTGTCGACCTTATTAATCTTCTATGTTAGTATATTTTTCGTGTTTTGCATATATCCATAATACGTAGTGGATTTCACTCACTTTTGGTTTGCTAATATTAGTTACCTTGTGATATAAGCCAGATCGTGTTCAATATTGTCCACTCTTTCGACTCCTCTGAATGCATACAGTCTACACCTTGATTTTAAGCTGATCTTATATCGCAATCTACTGAAGAATAACCAAGGATCAGACTGGACATCTCTCCTATCCACTAATAAACAATTTGGGTGTTTTCCTTTGTGTTACCTGTCGCAAAGAGCCAGCATGCATTGAATGCCCTCGCCTAATCTGTACATCTAGATTCAAGATAACGGGACGAGATCAGTTATCAGCGGCCATTGAAGGTCAGTATGCGTTAAGGCTGAACCCGGGTGTTGCGGAGAACAGAGACAGACCGTTGGGAATTTCTTCAGCTGAATTTTCCCCACATTCACCAGAAGGCCTTATCCTCGGAACGGACAGCGGTGGCGTTCTTGTTGCCCAATTCCAAGTACCAGACTGGAGTGCTTTGCAGACCGGTACGACGACACATCAATAGGCACATTACTTCTCAACAGGCAAACCTGTATCTTCTTTCGGTGCTTATAGAATCTAGTTTTAATGAATTTCCATCTTGTGTTTTTTTTGAAATTACAAAACGCTTAACGAAAAATTGAAATGATTAATATGGCTTTGTTTCCTATTCAGCTATTTTTGGCGTTTTCTGATCGGCCAATGAAGTACTAGTTTAGACTGTTTTTATTTCGAGTGTAGTTAAGCATCAAATTCATGACACATTTATGAGCACATTTTAAACTAAACTAGTTGATGAGTAACCGCTGACATAACTTTGAAATGTAAATAACTTTTGTTTCGAATGCCATTTTATGGCAACTCGTGATCCTGATGATGTTAGCAAACACCCCGACCACCATTTAGTTAGTTATTGGTTTATACACGATTGCTTAGTTCACATGACATTGGCTATCATTGTAGACATGGAATGCGCACATGCCTACCCGTCGCCGGTAAAGTATGTTCTGGCACGATATGCCTCGCCCATCCACTGCGTAGCATGGAGTCCGTTCCACCGCAATTTGGTCGGCATAGCTGGTGCGTTCCCGGGGATACATGTAAGTTATGCTGCTCGCTCGTGTATCGCTTGAATATTTTCTACTTTCGCCACCGTCACACACCCGTCGCCCCTTCACTTGAAATCAAGCGCAAAACGACATGTTAGGTAATTTCATCGGAAAGCTCTGAATGAGTCGCATGAGGTCGACATTTACCATTTTCATGGGTCTTTCGAAAACAACAGTAACCAAACATTAGATGGATTCGTGCAGTTTACAAATGAATTTCCTAAAATCATTGATTTGCTTAATGGGAAGTAGAGTTTCTTCATTTTAGTGTTCCTCGTGCGCTTTTGTGTAATTTACCTCCTTTTCAGTTGTTCAACATCCTCGAAAGGACCCAGATATGCACAATTGACACTAACGAGGGTCAGGTATTCACACTCCGTTTCTCCAGCCATGAGCCCTGCTTTCTGGCATGTGGATCGGAACGTGGCGTTGTAACGTTCTTTAATCTGTGTGATTTCAATGGTGGGCCGGAACATGAAGATTACACTGGCAGTCGTTCCATCCCGGTCCCGACAAATCGTTTTGAATTGAAGAAGCAGAAAGACCGTGCAAATCCAGTCTTTTGTATGATGTTTAATGACAAAACGTAAGATCTAGTCCCATGACACACTCTGTAAATCCCACAGAACTCGCTGCTCAGGTTTGAAGTTTGTTAGTACTGTAAGTAGTAAATGCTTAACGTTTCATTTAGCTACGTACATTTAGAATGGGTGCGCTAATATCTGAGGTGGTTCCCCAGTAATAGTGACGTAAATCGTTAGAGTAGACAGCGAATTTACTTCTTCGATCCACCAGCTATGAAATCCTGAAGGTCAAAGCTCATTTTTGATTCTGAAAATTAGTCTTATGACCATCAGCTAGTGCGGTACTACCATCGTGGTGGTTACTTGTTGGGTCTCTTTCAAGTTTTATTTTATCACTCTTTCTTATCGCCTCTGTTTGATTTTAGGGACTCGCTTTTGGCGGTGGGTGACCAAGCAGGATCCGTTTCTGTTTACAACACCTCCACAATTAGGTCACCTGGCCTGCTTTCTGATAAGTTGCTCAAACTCGAGAATTTTGTCAACTCTGTCTCCTCATAAGATACGTCTGATTTTCATTGTTGTCGTTGGCATTTATTGATACAAATTTCACTAAACTGTTTATTGCACTCGATCCGCTCATCATATGCGTTAATTTTTTGCCTAACCTGTGTAGGGTTAAGGACCAATACATTGTAAAATTTGGATGTTCAATTTGGTGAAATTTGAATTCGCTTGGTATTAGTAGGTGTAGCAGCCTTGCAAACCAAATTGTTTTGGGCAAGACAATCCAGACAGTGGGGATAAGGTCTGATCGTATTTTTGCACGGTTTTAAGCTAAATCGGAAATCGGCCAGAGGACGTACCCATTGTCTACCATTTCGTTGATATTAAACAATTTCGTCTTCGATAGGTCCTTTTCTTGGAGATGGTCTTGAGTAAATTATTTTTGCCTTAATTGCGGAAATACACTAAAAACTGGAATAGACTGCTTTCATTCAACTCATACAGATAATCGATATGCTCGCCGAGTAGAATTCGTAGTGTGTCCACAAATTCCAGGTCTTCGTCAATGGTTGAGAACTGCCTTTCGATTTCAAACATTTTGTACACTTTAAATCCTTTAGGCGTCGTCACCTCTCCCTCTCGCATTGGGGAGTAGTGGTTTGTTTCGTTGTTCACAGTGGTAGTAACATTTTATGAAGTAGGACAATATTCGTTGATTCTTCAGTTTGGGCTGCTTACAATGTGTCGTCGTCGATGTTGATCAAAACGGAAATCGACCAAAAATCAGGGTGAAAAAGGTTTAAATTCAGAGCTGCAAAAATCGATTAAAAAAATAAACAGGAAGCATCACAGTTGTGCTTAAAGGTCACAGCAATTCGAGATCTAAGCGTAGACATTGATTAGGCACATGAAGAGGTCCATTACGTTAGTTCCGGTGAGTCTTGCAGGCAGGTAGTGTCCCCTCTCCGGTTCGAGCTTGCTCTTCGTGAAGAATCCATAGGAGTCGCCGTACTCAAGACACTGTTTCGCAAACTCGGCTTCACTTGCATCCCTAATCATCCACATAGACGACCACGCACCAGCACCGAACGCCGAGGGACCGTCTAGCCCATCAGACGCTCTTGCAAAGAAGGACATATCAACGGTGTTGCGGCACAGATGATGCTCATTTTCACCACTGCGGAGGTCGTACCAGCGAAGGCTGGCTGTGAGTGCCGCGTGGCTGCATCGTCCGCCGTTGGCGGGCTCAGGGCGCTTCACAGGTCTAACCTTGACGGTGGCCTCACCACCAAGAAGAAGACAAAGACCTCCAAGAAAGCGTCCCTTCTGTTTCCGCCCAGCATCGCCCAGGCCGTTGACTGCCTTTGCGACCTGATAGCACCCTTGCACGAGGTCACGGTAGTATTCTTTCTTATCTGTGATGCGTTTCTGCGTCGCCAGGATTCGGTTTCTCTAAATAGTATTTGTGAAGCTTTCAGATAATAGAAGACCCAAATGATAAGGGTTATATTATTGCAATTTCGGTTAGGTGTGTGTGAGAAAGTCGATGACGATTTCTGCAAATTCAATGGTATGCCTGTCTTGCATGTCCTATTATTGACTTGATTGGCAGCACGGAAAGTAGATTAGTAACGTGAGTGACGATTATTTCCAAAAGGATGTCTGCGAAGTGTACACCTGATACCGTATATCAAAGTGAAATCGGTATTACGGAAATTCAAAGGACACTTGTAGTCCCGTGCATTTTTGTACTGGAACGCACAATGACTGCTCCTGTCGCCTAGAAAGATGTACCTGTGAAGCGATCCCTCATTCTTCCCGTATAAATGGGTCCCTGGGGTTCATGGTACACCAAATCTGGGATCGGGAGTGTGAATTCGTGGATACCGCTGGTGATAGTGCGTAATGACTTTATAAGGCGCGACAAATGAGAACCACGTTCTAGTGTATAACGCCGTAGGATAGCCGATGAGATGCAGAATAGGCCATACGTTAAAAAACAACAAAAATTCCTAGATTTGTTTTTAGGCACATTGAGGTCAGGCTATAGATGACACGATGATATTCAAGCTAATTATTTTTTTCCGAAAATTTAGCAATTTAAGAATAATAAAATGGATATTTTGATACATCTTGATTATAAATTCAGAATGGATGTCTAGTTTAAATGGCGGGCCTTGTTACTATTGCAAGAAGACCTACCGTCTCCTCATTAACGTGTCTCGTAGTGTAGTCGGGTTTACGTAGGAACAACTGAACCAGCTTCCGAAGGTCCCATGCAAGATCAGCAATGGCTTTGGCTTTTTTGCTTACGTCGCCGGCCAATGTGTTGGTGAGAATAATGGGCAGAACGGTCCTGAATAAAAGTCGTCTAGATTAAACTCTAATTACAGAATAAATGAACTATAAAAGACCCTTGACTGTCAGCGCCTTTGATAAGAAAGAGCATTTGACGGTTGGTGGCCAGCAGCCTTAAGTAGGTCCACATTTTAATTGTGGCTAGGGTATAAAGGGTGACTTGCAATCAATACAAAATCAGCCCAGAAAAGTACAATTAATTGTTGTAGACCTGGACTTTCTAAATTTTTAGATTACCACATTTGCCGTTAATCGTTTTAAAATGCCTATTTAGTGGTAGCCAACGCCTAAGTTTTAGTTCAGTGTTCCCTACTTTGGTGTCCAATTATGTACAGGAAACTAACGTTAGCATGACTTAGATTCTGAAACCAACAATGGTGCTTGTAGAGCAGATTTACGCTTTATTTTTGAAAAGCTTTTCTTACTTGTATACTAAACTGTTTGCTTAAAATCGACATTATTAGTAAGTATCAAACTACGAGGTGATGGGCCAGGACGAGTAGCCAGTTGCACAACAAGTGGTTGGATGCTTTTTTTAAAATATCTTCTCTCAAGTTTTACGCTCTGTCAGAGTTACTTGACCATTCAAAGCTTTTTGAGTCAGGAGAGCCATGTAGCAAACAAATAATGTTTTTTGATGGCTGACATAGTCCCCTAAAAGGGCGTCATTTTCTGTGTGGTGAACCAGTGAGTAGAACACCTTTACATGGCACAAGCTGCGATGAACTACCTTCAAGGTTTTCTTCAAGTTATCACGAACAAAGATGAAATCGTGCAAACTCACTCAAAGCTTTCCACTGGTGTTCTACGGAAGATATCCTTTGAAAGCACTATGCCTTTGGACTCTAAGCACGTGGGATTTAATTTGGCAGCCTCCCGTGCCGCCTCCTCCAAAGACATGGCAAGATTTCCGATGATTCGATTGGCCGGTTTTGGGTTGACCTTGGGCAAAATGGTATTGGCACGCTGTCGCATCTCCAAGAATTTTTTTACCTCACTTGGTATCTAGAAGAAAATCAGCATTTCAGTATTAGGTTCTACCAATAAGGATTTGGACATTGCCTTCTTATTGCATCGAAGCGTGTCTGGAAATTGGGCACCAACTTTGGCGTTTGAATTTAAAAATCTGACACAACGCTCTATAAACTCAATGCATACGTATGTACCAGCATTTGTAGCAGAAGTCGAAAAAGAAAATTTTCATTCCCCCAGCATCATGGATAACTGATTTCAAAACACCAGACTAGCTTTGGAGTGTATTCGATTAGTAAGCATTCCAGGTAGGAGAGGTAGAGTAATACCAACCTTTTCACGAAGCTTGTATTTGTGGAGAATGGCAATAGCCCGGTCAATTGAAGAGACAACTGTGTCCTCCTCCACCACGTAGGTTGGGCCACTGGCAATGAATTCGAGTGGGTCTCCAATCACATCCGAGAGAATCAAACTCACGACCTGCGCCGGGGAAGCGAATCTTGCTAATCCTCCGGCTTTCATTGTGTCTAGACAGCTGCGAACGCTGTTTAGCTGAAACCGGAAAATGTGGTCAAATTCGCTTAACCTCGCATCAACAATTTATTTATGTAGTAGAATGTGCAACCCTCGTGTGAAACAGTAGCACGTGAGTAATGCCAGGTTTGCCGATTAGACCATCAAAGAGACTAGACGTAGACTGTAGACTACACGTAGGCAGGAAATTCCACTTAGACGTAAAAACAGCCCGTGGAACCTCAGTGGCACACATGTGTAGAGTGTCTGACATCTGGTTTATGAGTCAGACAATTGGCGTCCTTGTGTTAACTTTGTTCTTTCCTTACTTTAATCATACGTATAGATAAACGTTACATGACTTCCCGTTATTAACTACCTTGTATTAAGTGATTGCATCTTCCACAATTACCGGATTTCATAGCCCACCTTAAAGATTGCAGACATGAGACTAGTGTCTTGTGAGCACCAACGTTCCCTCAAAAGCCTTCAGCAGTTCCTGCTACCGGGTCAGCTGCAATCATTAAACCCAAATCTCCTGTCGCTTAACTGGTCGTCTTACCACATCACATTTATCAAGTCTTGGCAAGCATGTGTTGTCTGCCCAGCACACACCCTACTTCAGTCGAATGGAATGGGTGTCAAACCATTCATAACGAATCACGTGAGCGCGTCTTCCAGTACTCTCCTTCACGTTAAAAAATTCACAAAAAGAATAAAGCTGATGGTAACATGAGGAACTCCTCAGTTTATGAAGCTGAATGAACTAATCATATTTGTCACGTGGCCCAAAGCATTTCCGCACAACTTAACCGTGCGTCAAGCAGATGCGTACTTACTTACGAACACGCTCTCGTGAGGTAAATTCTAAGCCACTTATTCTTTCGTAAGCAACACCGACGTTCAAACAGATAGGAGTTCACGTTGCTTATCCAATTTTGCTTTCATAGAAAATATGCGGAAAATATTTAATAGGATATGTTGAAAATCAGATCTTAAAAGGAAGTACCAAGCCAAGTCCAAGCATTTTTAGACAAAATGCAGGCCTTCAGTACATGTGAAGGTTCTTTTAATTCGGTTTTAATAACGTGCCTGGATTTGCCGTCCATTTAATGAATAATCGACGAATGAGTTTTGGAACGCGCTTATTATGCCTGAAGCTCCTGCGACATAATTCGTGGTGAAGGCCGCATTTTATGTTAAGAGGGATGTTCACGCCGATAAGCATAATATAGATAGCCCTAAAAATGGCTGCACAGGAAATGTTCTCCGAAAATTGCCTTTCAGGTCATTCACTCAACGCCAACGTGGTATATGCTTGTGTTGGTATATTGTGCATGCCTCAACAGGGGTCCCACTTGGCACACATTAAGATAAAAAAACTTGAGTATTATGGCTGAAGCCTGGCAACCTCGTGGTTCAGAAGTTGGTCAGCAAAAGGCAATGTGTCGTGCGTTTTTGGAACTGAAGCGAATCAAGGTCAAATCGACGCCATTAAAGTGGTTCATTTTTTTAGAATTTGTAAGACCACTACTTTTTTTACAATTCGCAATAAAAGAATCTTGACGAAATTGGAGATTATCAGCAGTCAGAATCAAAGATGCGACATTACTAATTCGGGTTATTTGTATCCATAGTAAGTAAATTAGATTTTCTTGAGTAAATGCCTTAAGCGATAAAACTTCTACCAAAACTCTAGAAAAATAAATCGATGTCAGTTTTTGCAACAACCTATTTTGCTTAAGATTAAACCTGTGTGAAAGGTTACGTTGCGTAAAACTAAAAAAACACTCTTCTATTGCTTACTGTTCCAAAGTTACGTTGTGTTACGACGATAATGTCCAAATTAACTGTCTTTTTCATCAAATCTACAGTAGAATCCTGAAAATGCTTGCCTATTTGCAATATCAACTTAATGGCGTCTCAGAAGTTACGTTTTAAAACGAAAGCACCCAGACATAATATCGTAGATCTAACCTCTTGAATGGATGCGCCTTCAAGTGAAAGAAGCTTTGAAGTCTCAGTTATTGCCTTTAGTGGCAACCGATTGGCTGATGCATCAAGAAGACTCGCAGATGCGTTGATTGGATAGGGCAGTGTCAGCAGTGCTGACCCACCACCAGTGATGCAAACAATCAGCATATCATCGGCGTTCATTTTGCTGGCAATTTGAGCCATCATTAAGGAGGACTTGATAACTTCGTCATTCGGTTCGTTAGTTCGAGGACCATGAAAAGTGTGAAGTTTGGGCTCTGACTGGCCAGTGGGGACAATATCACCTTCCGAGAAAAGACTATTACCGGAATAAGACTTGCAAATTCACTCTTTTTAAAAGAATCGCAACCAAGCTAAATGTAAAACCAAACGTACTCTGGAAATTCGGCTATTTCCTGAGCTGTAGGAAGTGGTGTGCAGCACACGACGTTGTCGATTCGTGGTCCCAGCACTTTGACTACCTGTCTTTAAAGAGATGAATTTAAAAAAAGAGGTAGGTAACTCACTTAACTAGCCCCATGGCTGCCTTTCCAAAGCCAAAGACATTGAGTTTTCCCGAATAAGAGTACGTAGTCCCGGAAACTTTAATGCCATCAGGAGTTGGAAACAGTGTTTGGGAGATCTTAATTTAAAGGAAAACCAAACCTATTTATCACAAAGACGTAGAATCAAGTCATAGTGAAATTTAAATCTAAACAGAAAATTTCCTTCTACAGTACCAAAATAAGGGTTTAGAACTGGCAGTGGTTTGCTATTTTAAAGCTCCACTAACTTGTCAATGGTGATGTCAAGGCCGAAAAAGAAACAAAGGAAGGAACGTGTAGAATAGTGAGTGTGCGTGAGTAAGTCATGTTTTAGAAAAGTAAGGGTGAGTGATAGACACCAATCAGCTTGAAATAAAACGTTTGGAGAAGCTTCTACTTATAAACTTCCACTGATGATCCAGTGTACATACAACTTGTAAACAAAATGTCACTCAAACTTGGACGTATCATAATAAGCACGAATTATATCTTTAGGAATTTATTTAACAATACAAACATAAGGTCGTCAGAATAGAATCATGTAAATACAAAATGGGTCATTGTGATCCGAATTTATTCATTTCCTTTAGTAGTATATCTGACTATATGGTGTAGTGACGTTTACTAAGTGGGCTGCAGTGAACGTCATCTAATACTATACGTCAAGGGGCATTTAAACAGTTGGGCCACTAGTATTCAATTTTTTTTAAAAAACTCAAAGACTTCACAATACCATAAACTAGAGCAGAGGCTAAGAAAACTTGCAAAAGGGGACACGTGTAACTAGCTTTGCAACTCAAAACCGATAAGAAGTATACAAAAAAACTTCAGTTCAAGTGAATATTAAGAGGCATAAAGCAGTAAATTATCAAGTCACATAAAACATGACATCATCACAAATATTGTAAATTGTTTCGTATTCTTTGCTTTTAATTCACTAAATATTGGTTCATAGAAGGTTATGATAAAACTAGCAATGAGACGCATTGATTCACTGCAAAAGATTACTATTGAATTTGTTCTAATGATCCATACAGTATCACATTCTAGATTTGATCAAGATATTAGGATTTTGAATTTAAGTTCGGTTTAGTGTATTCTCAATATGTACACATAGTTGGTCTGATAGAATACTGGTTTTCTTTGTTCTACTCAAAAATTCACTCTCTCGTATTTTTCGGTGCATCAGAATTAACTTTTGTTCTTTAAACCTTTAAGCAAATCAAAAATAAATTAAACACTGCAAGGCATAAAGAATCAATATTAGAACAAAGTAATATATAGCAAAAATGATACAAACTTAAACCATTTCTTTATATCTAACAAAATTGATCTGCTGTACTCTTAAAGCAGAAATATTTTACATCCCTAAATGTACAAAAACCTAAAATATGTTGATGTTCATTATAGGAAACAGAAATGTCAATAGGTGAACAAATATAAATTTATAAAATATTTGAAGTGTACACAACATAGAGGTTGTTAATCACCCAACATACCAAGCGATTTGGAATGACGGCTTCTATGCCTTTCTCTAATATACTCTCAAACTCAGACATTAGCGACATGACTTTGATTTTCCGCGTGCGTGACCTTCGAATTGTGCGAAGCTTTTATACCCCAATGAGTTAATTTAAAGATCTTTTAGAATAAATACGTGACTGTTAAACTAGTGTACTTTTTTTGACTAATCTTGCATAACAACTAATTGCTGTGTTTCTTGAAACCTGGATTGACAGACTGAGGCAACTGAATTTCCCTTTCGTTATTCGGATTTGCATAGGTCAAAAACCCCTACAAATCCATACACTTGAGAGCAATCTTTAAATTATTGCAACCCCTTTATGGTAATTCAATAAACTTGGAACGATAGATTGCTTATTAATTTCAATTAAAGGAACTGAGTTTATGTTGTTAAATTTCAAGCCCATTCGACAATGCTGGACATGAATTATCAGATCTAAATGAGTATGTACGTTGAATTTGAAATAAAATGTCAATGCACACGACGTGAAAGCTAATTCTCCAAAGGTAGTTAACATTAAAAGATATGCCTAAATGTAATCTTTTCTGTATTTACGCCACCTCGCTGAAACAAAGGCACAAATCTAAACTCCACACCGTGATTTAAAGAGAATTTTATGTGATTCAACAAAAGGTCCAATCTTTCTGATATCTGAATGCATATTAGTTAGCCTAAGTGTTAACATATTGATTGCCTTATTCAAAACTGCCCAATAAATATATTCTCTACCAGTGCTAACACTCAAAATTTTAAACCATGGGACGTAATTTTCAACCCTGATGATGATGCCTGTGATATTATCCAATTTCTTATGTGGCTTACATAACCATAGGTAAAGGCCCAAAAACAGATAATAATTTTCAGCAAAATTAATTCCCGTTTTTATCTACTAACATTTGTATACTCGCTGAAACACGTTCTTCCTATTCTGTTAAATAGCTCGTTTATCTTATTGTACTTCTATAAAAAATTTGGTAAAAGCACTAAAAAGATCCACAAAGCTTTTAAGTTATCAATTTTCTCCAGATAGGGCAATTTTAGAATCAACCGTCCCCTAAAGACGCCATATTAGCTGCCTTAATAATTTCAACCAACGTCAGATTCATGCTGTATAATTAGATTTGTATTTACCATTTCTTTCATCAGTTAGTCAAGCAGTGCAGCCAACGTGAAAACCGGAACGATAAAAGCATTCGCTCATCTGAGAGTGATCCATTCCAATTTTCTCTTATTGCTTATTATCTTGCAACTGCAGGGAATTCCGGTCTGATTTGAAGGAACACACTCGCATTCTAAAGGGCCGTTAATGTTCTCTGCCTTCACAAATCGTTTCGTGCATGTCACGAAATATATAGTGAGAGTTCTGGGCTTTTGGTTACCATAGAACAGTTTAGTGTGTCCCACAGAAAGTCTAATATTCTGGACATTTGCTTAACAAAAAAATTAGTTTTTCAAAGTACATTAGAGCCAAGACTTTGTCCAATATCGTATCAATACAATGTTGACAACCTGACCTTGACCGGGAAATTTATTTTTTTTTCCATAAAACCCTACTACATGCACATCCATTTTAATGCGTCTTTGGTACTAAATGTATCAGCCGTCGTATGATGTCGTCTGTTTTGACATTAACTTCCGAATGGGTGCAATTACGTCGATGTAGTCGCATTTGCATGGATTGTGGAGCCACATTATCCCATAATGAATCCTCAAACTTTTCAGAAGACAATGGTTGGTTAAAATACCTAGGTATCTACTTGGTTGGACTTGTCTTCGATCTTCAACAGTTTTTCATTGCCTTGATGATTGGGACTTCTGCACCAAGGTCATCAGCCATCTGTCCTACTGTAATGCTTTAATGTGATTCAGTACTCGTAGACTACATCTTTAGTAATTCAATGGGTTGAGAATAATTATTTTGAAAGATGGTAAAACAGCATTTCTTGTTTCCTCTTCATAGCTTGCAATGACGCGTGTCAGTTCCACCCCAAGTAGTATTCCATCAAAACTTTCGTTTTTTTTCCATGTCAAGCAAAACTGATAGATAAAAGCGCAGTAGGCTTTTGAAGAACTTTCAGAATGGGATCTTCTGCCCTATTTTGCACTATCTTAAAATATAATCTAGAAAGCACTTTGTCAAAGTGCACTAAGGTCCTTACTGCTTCTAACCTTTAAGTTCATCGCCCAAGTCAGCTTAAATGAAACTTCGTTGGATTTTCGCACAAGTCTTATGAATCTCACAGGTCACTATCACAGGGATGAAAATCCAACCTTTGACTTTGACCAGTCCTTTACTTACGATAAAGCCCACGGACATAAACGTCCACTCGAATGCGTTTGAGAGTGAATCAATCTGCTCTCATGGAATATCGTCTGTTACCAACATTAACCTCTACATGGTTGCTACAGTAATTTCGTCGATGTAGCTGCACTGATATGGAATCACGGCATCCCATAATTAAGCCACAATCACCACAGATAATGTTAGATTAGTTTATTTTCCCTTCCATCAGTCCAATTATGCAGCTACAACGGGACTATTTCTTCGCTGAAATTACTATATCAGCGTCCATTAAGCGACATTCTTGCAAAAAATAAGTTTTTCTTTAGACATTGTTCAATGTCACAAAGATTTAGTGCCATCATGAATGAATATATATGGTTTTCTTGCAATCCGACGAGTTAGCTGTTCCGTACTTTTAAACCCGTGAAAAAGCTTTTACATTACTGATGTGATATAAGGCATGTTAGAGTACAAGACGGAACCTTCGTGCACGAGTTGAAAACCGATTCCCCGTTTAATGTTTCAGGAATAAGCTAAAAGCAATATTTAGTCTTTTATGTGGAGTTAGAACGAAAAAACACGTAAATTAATACCCAGTGTGACGCACACTTTATGGCGATAATTGGTGGGATAATCTACAAGTGGCAAAAAATAGTGAATTAAGGCACAATATTTTCCACTAACTCAGTGATTTTTGTTTGATTTAATATGTGGGCAGGCAACAGTAAAGTTTGGAAAAGTTTTAAATTCTGTTCTAACGAAATGTCGTCTATCCCATCCACCTCTCCACGAAACAAAGTCTTCCACTGAATCTCTCTCGGTAGAATTCAATGACCTTAAGTTTGCATAATTTTTGTGTATAGAGACTTATGTTTTGCACTAATTAAGAAAACAGGGATCGCTGAGATTGAATGTAGACTATCATCTTATTTCACGTGCTCATTCCGGAAACTTAAGTGCCTCATAAGTTTCTCTTATTGACCAATTTGATCAGTCAATAAACCATTTGCTGCGAGATAGCCATTTTTCACACAACGATAAATAATAACTACTTTAAATTCATTACTAAAAGACTCCGCAATTGTTTATATCGAGGACCATGGCATAAAACGAATGGAGATTCATGACATAACTGGGTTTTGACGTACAACTTGTGTTTATAAGTGCAGCTGCCTGCTGCGCTGTCACCAGCACACACACACACACACGCATACGCCAGAAATCAATCGAACGATATTGTAGGGTTTCGAAAGATAAATACTGTTATCAGTGACCTTCCATTGTGGTGCATTTTTGCACCAATCGAATTTTCTTCTCACCTAAGATGTTAAACTAGCAACTTAGGTACCAGAATTTGTTACCGAACGCCAAGCATTTCTTGCAAGGCCTTGTGATGGTTGATATAGGAAGCAGTATGGCGAATGTGTGCAACCCAGGTCTGCCTACATGTAGCTTAAGCCACTAGGCACTTCCCTTTTATGTACAGCAATCGAATTTGCATTTCTAAGTGTTACTACTCTTCACCTACTTGTTTAACATGACCCAAATATCTCATTATATCTACCGCGTTTCCCAATGTCTCCTCACGGTACTTCCCCTTGTGTTCGAAATACAATTTCTTTCTGCGTTTAGTAATTCAAGTCCCACGGTTGCCAGCTTCTCAAACTTACGGCACCCCTCCAAATCTTACCATCTCTGCCACCGTATTTATTAATTAGGAATGCACCTCGTATCTCATTTTTGCAGTCACATTCAACTTCGTGGTTAATTCTGACGGATAGGTCAACCGTAATTATCCCCGTTAGACCCACAGTGGCATCGGATGCTGCCCTGAATGTAACATTAACAAGCAGTGCAGAAAACTCTTATTTTTGCAAAATTGGATTCGTCCTGAACAAATATAATCTCTTAGCATGTCAAGGACTGAGGTGGAACACCTTGCAAGCTATGCACAATAGACCACCGACAATTGAAAAGTGTAGGCACCTGTGGACAAGCCTCATTTACGTTTATGAATGCTTGGATTTCTGCAGTATTGGCCTGAATCGACGCAAACTTAGATGAAACCCGACTAAAGCACAGATGGGATTGAAGAATATCAGTGGACATGTACTCAAGTACTACACTGTAAGCACACGTCTAGCTCCAACTGCATAGGACAGTCTTAATTTTTTATTAAATAAAACCAGGTTCTTGATTGAAATTTGACATTCAAACCATAAGAGGCTTCAGAAAAAATCTCAACTACCTGATGACCCACCTCCCATTTCTGCGAACATCAGACAAAACCACTACGGCGAGACATAATTTAACGACATTCCATCACGATACTGTCTCGAATTACTCGACGCCTGGCATCAAGCATCTTGGTGCGGTCAACCAGGAACAGAAAGCAAACAAACCTTACCCTGGTGTGGTTGAAAGGTCTTCATTTTGTATTTTCCAAATTGTAACAACCAGGTTATTCGACAACACACACACACACACACAGCCTCTAAAATACATTTTAACACCGTCGAAGATCTATTAGTAACTACAAGCATTATTGTGTCCATAGAAATAATACAAAACCAACTATACAAAGGCAATGAAGGCTACTATACAAGATGTCCGTTCAATAGCCGCGGACTTTTTCAAATGGAACAACAAACCAGACTCCACGTTTACCTACAAAGAAAAAGGAAAATACTACTTAGTTCGAGAGAAAAATCAATTCGGAGATTCCGCAAATTGGTGATACGTGGAACAGATTACTGGCGTCATTCTTATGTCCTCAGGTATAATATATGAGATACCATTTTCCGAGAATTGTCAACATATAGGCGAGGGTCGTCCGACTACAACTGTTTGCATGAAATGCAGAATATTTTTCTCGAACGACTCTCAGGTTTCAATTTAAAGAGGAATATTTGGCTAAAAGTTTGGATAATTCTGATTCTTTAAGTCAAGTTGGTCCCATTTTGTGAAAAGCAACTACTATAAGAGTCACAACGTATAACAAAACCTGCTGTTCCCCGTTTGACTACACATCGACAGTGAACACAGACAGTGAACACATCCTACACCCAATCACAAAAATGCCAAAGGTTTACCGATTCGAAGAATGCTAAATCCGGTGACAGGATCGGCCGCCTGCCAAGCTTCTGCAATAGCCGACTCCGAGGAAACAAAGAGGTCACGAATACACATTCGTTGCGTGCAGTTGCACTGCTTCTTACTGGCACCCGGTGTGGGTTTGAGGATCTGTTGACCGTTCAAAACGACGCCGCCTTCCTCAACGGACAGCGAGGTGCCCCTATCACACTCACTTGACACCGCAATCTTAAGAACCTCGTGCAGGCGGTCAAGGGGTCCCGCACTGACGGTAGCTTTGTCATGGATGACGGGAATGGGACTTTCTAGAGGGGCCGTATAGTGCGCTAGACAGGCGACAAGGAAATTCCGTTCGGTCGAGGTGAGACCCTCTGAGAGAGCTTGCATTGGTGGAAGTCGAGTTTGGTTAACTGAACTTGAAGCGTAGAGCACACGCGAGGCTAGCTCACTGGCCTGCAAGGAACCCGCTTTAAGCAAAATACAAGTTTAGACGGTGATATGTGAATACAGGAAACATCGTGATGTGAATCATGTAGATGCAGGTCCAGAAATTTGCTTATTTACTTAGCCTCCTTATGTTTTTACAGCCACGCACAAAAACACAAACCAACTGATTTGAGCCATCTATTAAACAATTGACTCGGTAACCTCGTGTCTTTAGTTTCTCCCTTTGGCATATGGGGAGCGTAATTGAGCCTCTAGAGGTGGCTGTCCCCGCATGGATTCAAGTCCGATATCAGGAGTTCTAATATTGCAAATCATTCAGCTAAATTGTACCTCCAAACAGACTTCGGATAAAAACACACTGGATGAAATTCACGAGTATAGCCCATGAAACTGAGAAGATTATAGTGAAGATAGGTCTATGCCTGTATAAGTAAATGCTCTATTATTTATTTATGCATAAGCACAAAACTCTATTTGAACGGAATTAAGAGATTACGACAAAACTGATTTAATAACTAAGGAACCTCTACGCACCAGTATTAATTTCATGACCAAGTAAAGACTTCATTGGTGAAATTTGTGATAGCTTTTGTGGCTGCAGTTAGCACAAATGCTGAGAACAAACTGTGTAAAATTTCTCATGAAAAACGGCATTGCATTGTGCAGAAACCTAGAGGCATTTTTACATATCAAGACCTACTTACTACAAATTCTAGTGTAAAACCAATGACTGATAGGCCAATCTGTTTACAAAAAGACGGATCTGGTAGGAGGAATATGAAAAAAAAACGAACCTCCGTGAACAAGGAGAGTTAGTTCCTGTGCCAAAGCGCGCTGAATCGGGCGACGTGATGGGCAAGCCTAGGATTCACACCAGCATGTTAGTAAATATAACGGCACGCATTTGCAGAAAATATGGACATGACTGACCTTTTGATCAGTGAGCAACTGGGTAACTTCATCTGGAGAGAAAAATGACAGACTTCGGATAAAGCTTGAAGTCATCAGGCTATCGGGCTGATTCAGAAGTTTTTGGAAGAAGTGAAATGGGCGAAGTTTCTTCGAGCTCAGCCAGATCACGTCGTCTTGAGAAGCCGAAGAAGTTTTGCCTATTTTTGATCCGTCTGCTGCCACAAGTAGAGGAACTGTCAAACCTAAAGAAAACAAAAATGAATGCAAGCTAGTTGACAGTAAGTGCCACCACACTTTAAATATGTGTTTTATATTAAAAAGGGGATTTAAATGACCAGGTTATCGCATTTTTACAAAAAAAGGTGGAAAGGAATTAATGAATATAGCTTCGTTATGAATTTTTAATTCTTTGTTAGAATTAGATCCACCCATGTCACATTTGGTAATATAACAGGGCTAGCATGTTGTGTTTAGAGGGTGATTGGGACAGCTTTGCGTTTCGGACATGATGTCTACGGTAGGTTATGTAACAAAGACCTCTCACAAAAGATTGAGTCAAATGCCACAAGGAATTAAACTGAGGAGGACAGAAATCAAGTTAACAATTTTGACCGAGCAAATAGGCAGATTTTAGCAGCTTTCCCAGTTGAGAGCACTATTGACGACTTTTTGAATGTAGAAAGTCGTGAAAGTATGATTTGATGGTGGTGGAAATATGGACTACACTAAAACAACTCGATTAACGGCGACAACCAATTAAATATGACTGGTGATGGTTGAATTATCAGTAAAAGTGTGATCAGAAACTCCCCAACTGGCTGGACCCAAGTTACGGAACGTCCTGACAATATTTAATTACAACACGTACCAAAAACATTTGCACCAGTCTTGCGTCGTATAAGAGCGATTCCAGTGTCAATATTGCCAACCTGATCGTTACCTCCAAGCTACACAACAAAAAGTCAAAGGTAATTAGAGCAACGACTCAAACCTGGACACAGCAGCCGTAGTTTTGATAGAGATGAAAAAAGTCATAGGCTTGTATCATAGGATACATGAATTCCTTCATACTCATGCCTGATCCACAGGATTCCCGGAGCTTAACACTGAAAATGGAGCACATTTACAGGTCTTAACTTAGTTACTATATAAAATAGAAGAAAAGGTTAGTAAAAACAACACCAGAGAACCATTTCGATAAAAAGGCATCCAAGGGCATCATTCTTACCTGTCTTTATGGGCCAATTCCTGGTACCGCAAAAAGCCAGCTATATCCTCAACAAAATCTAGTAGTTTTGCATTCTTATTCCAATCCAAATTATTCATCACGTTGAACTTCCCAGGGTCTCGGACGGATTTAAAGCGAGGCAAAAACTGCTCAGTAAAATTATTTTGCATGAATAGAAGCGCGTCCCGAAAAATTTCAGAGTTGTTAGCACACGCGCTAGCCGACAGGGGTACTCTTGATTTTTTTAGTCCGGTAGGATCGCCAATAATCGATGTTGCTTGGCCGACCTATCCAAGAATTCAGGAATGAATTTCACTCACTAAACCGATAACATCGTTTCCTGACGCTTGAGCGCGGAGCAGTCCAATGAAAGCTACCAAATTCCCCAACTGCAGACTTTCCGAGGTCGGATCAAAGCCGCAATAAACTTTTAGTTGATTAGATTTCTCCAAGTTTTCTAAGTACTCGTCGCTAACAGTAAATTAGTTAGTACATTTACCTTAATTGCGGCAAAATATTTGCGTAGTATCCAGATGATTTCAGACCCACTATCGTCGCACAGCTATGATATTTGGACGAGGCTAAAAATGCCGTCCGAAATGTCTTCACACACCTAACGAAAGGATTCATTCTACAGACCACCGCACCACAATTTCTAACACAATTCTAAATTGCGCGGCTTAGTGTGTCAGCACCAAGTCGTTTTAATCTTACTCGTCCCTATTATCTCAATATCATTTGGAATAATTTGATAAACACAGCCACACACATACATTTATTTGGTGCACTCATTATGTCTTAGGTATATCTGTTTTTAATGACTAGTGAATTAAAGAATGAATCCATATTTTGATGCACTTCGGTAGGCTTCACTGATTGGCTTCTTCTCAAGGATATTTTCTATTCTGTGCCGTTTTTGCCCATGTTGACTAAAGAGGCCTTTGACAACTTGCGCGTGCTCCACATCAAAAATTTTGCTTATGAGTTAGCTTCAAGAGATATCGAATCTTTACTTAAACGCCTTGGTGCTATGGATGTGCAGGTGTACTTATCCTGTCACCCAGCAACATGTGTAGGGTTTTATCAATTTTGTTTACTGTTAGCACCGTGCTCTCGCTGAATTTAGGGGCACAGATGAGTGTTGGCATATATTACGGTCTCTCCACCAGCGTGAACTATGTGGTCATCGTTTACATCTTGAATTCGGGCGCTTTACTCAAGGGTTTGTTCTTTTGCTCTTCTCTTTTATTACTTTATTACCAGCAGTGATGAAAAATGCAATGTTTCAAGTGAAGTGACTACGGCAGCTTGCCTGCCGGATTGGGTAAAAAATGTTACTGCATTGTCCTCCAAGTGGTTGCCTGGCAGGACTTTATCAGAAGCCTACTATTCTTATCCAAAGGCAACACCTGCCATCTTGACCAACATCGTAAGATGTCTGGCTTCAGTGCCTGCTTTCTACGTCCAGGTGGGCTTTCTATTCGCTACATCCCTTTTTTCATACTTTATTTTGCATGTTTCACTAGCGTTTGGCAAAGTCTATTGTCTTATTTCCTAAGATAATAGATAAAAATGTCATTAGTTTGTATTTCTTATTGTGACGCGTTATTTCTTACTTGAACCTCAGTCGACTGGTTAGTAGCTCTCCGCTTCACCAATTTTGGGTCATTTTATTATCCACAGGGTACTTATGTGTCTAATTTATTTTATTTAGTTTTGGAGCTTCCGCGGGCCTTCTGTCAACGTTATTCAATTCTCCTAAACTTAATTGTATCCTTTACCGTATTTCCTCTTGGACCTAGTCGTATATTTTATTGAGTTGGTTAGTAGACTATGTAGTATCCTTGTCTATTTTTTGTTGAAACGTGTTATCATTTTATTAAAACCTGTAATGTCATCTTCAAGCAACCTTAAAAGTTGACATCACATTCAAAGTGAAACTTACCTTTTCTCAAATCCATTAAATTAAAATCTATGAAAGAAGTTAGGTTCCGATTTCTATGTCGCGTTGTCCTGAGCTACTTTCAGACTACTCTATCTTCCTTGACAGACTCTCCATTTGATGAATCGCTTAAATTTACCAGCTCCTTTTTGCGATTCAACTGAATTTCCTGGATCGTTTTTTGTTGTGACTGAGGGGGAGCTACATAATCAGAATCCCATGTCGTCGAACCGCCCAGAAGGCGTCACAGAAGAAATGGACGTATCGAGTGGACCTGAAAGTGAAATCGCCTCAGGTATTGATTTTGTTCGCTTGTTCATGTCACCTTCCAGATCCTAATGACTCGGACACAACTTTGAATAAGCCAAATTTGTCTTCTGCCACCACACGCAAGCCACCTTCGAAGTTGAAGTCCGGACTGATAAAACGGAAAGAAAAGCGTCGAGATGCTAGAGGAAAAGAGCTAAGGCCTTCGTACCCGGTATGTAGTCAGAGTTCCTCTTCTCCGCAGTCAGCTGAGCCGGTTTTCGAGGAATGTGTCCTACGAGGTACTCCCCATATCGAATTGAACCTCTCCAGCACTGTCAAAGATCTAAGTGAGACCGATGATGGACATTTGGTTTCCGGGTTCGGTGTGTTTTCGAGAGCCATTGGATCCGCAGAATCTGCTCCTGCACTGCTGTTAGAAAGTTAGTTTCTAGTTCGTAAATTTGTGCCACTCTAAAAGGCGATTTGTCTCGATGCTGAGATTGTTTTATCCATGTCCTCTCTCTCCCAAATTTTTCTATTTTTTGAGAATATCTTTGACAAGGATGTCATCAATCATTTTTTTATGCACAAGTTTGTTTCTATCGCTATTACCTCCAGGCATTCCCTAGACCAGAAATCAAATAAATCACTTCCCGTCTCATAATTTGCTGGTCATTTCTGTTAGACATCGATAGTTATTTTTGAAGAATTCAGTCGATTTCCCTCTACCATTTAGTCATAGTTAAAGTTGTAGATTTGACTACATGGTCGTTGTCTCAATTTTAGCGCCTTCAACAGACGCCGTTCCCGTTCACCATGTTCCAATACTCCCAAGCGAGACTCCCTCTCATCCACTTGAGATTAATGACGAGCCTCCGAAACCTCCGCCTCTAACTCCGGACGCCCTATGGGCTGGGAAGGCCTCGCAGGCAGATTTGGCAAACAATCCGGTCTTTAGCAAAAATCCTGGCCGTGGGACTCCTTCTTCGCGCCTCTATGTGAAAAATCTTCATAAGAAGACAACCGAAGAAGACCTCTGGTTGGTTTTTGGTTCCTTCAGCCAACTGGCACAACAAGGCGCCTCAAACCAGTTCTCTATTCAGCTGCTTACTGGCGGTAGAATGAAGGGTATGTTGCATTTTATCATTTCAGAGCTCGACAGAGCTCCTACGCTTTCATTATGCTCCACTTGTGCTCCGTTACTTTGTTCCAAGTCATCTCTTTGAAGTGACGATCCATTGTGTGATTCACTAATAAGACAAAGATGGTTTATTTGACCTCCGCCCAGATTCTTTTGTGTGTTTAAATATAACTGCGCATGCAAAGACCGTTCAGTGGTATTGCGTGTGATGAATTTAGGCAAAACGAAATCTACATAGCCATAGACTGAATTCTTTATAAAGCGGCTTGTTTTAGCGTTACAGAACCATGCAATGAATCCACTTCAGGGCGTGATGGAGAGTTACTGTGATCTTCTTTAGTAGTGGACACTTTGGGCTTTTGTGTGTAGCACAGTCTTCGATGTCATTGGCGTTCCATCGTTCCTCATTCAAACAAGTCGCGCGTATTACCAAGTGTTTCGAGGCAGGAGCAGCAGTAGTCTGGCGAGATCTCTTGAAGGTTCGCTTTTCGACTCCCTCTGCTCCTTAAGTGACGATGTATGCCCATGGAAATGACGAAAGCAGTTAAGTTGGTTGCTGACGAATCAAGCGATTCTGCAGCGGTAATCGGCTGCGTCTACAGAAGTCCACAGTAGCATGTGGTATATCCGCTCCAAATGTTTGAGGAAATGCAAGGTTTTATTATTGCCACTAAAGAACAAGCGTGTCAAGTCATTTTGACCAAGCGATGGTAGCGAACTGCTTTTTGTCGAGTTAACTTACAAACTCTTGACCACGCTGCACCGCAAGCCAAACGAGTTTCAGTGTTAGATTTATGGTGAAAAATAGTATATTCTTTTTTCTTCATTCCATCAACCATGCTCTTGTTGCTGTGATTGCGTCGCTCAACTCATTTTCGCCTAACTTTTAGGAGCCTTTTTTTTGAAAAAAAAGTAAATTGCTTTCAGTGAATCTCAGATACTCAGAATGTCGTAATTATGGTAAACTAATTTCTTTTCTTAGCTAGGAGACTTTAATGGCAATTCTGCAGCGAAGCCATTATCATAAAATGCTTGTCGTCAATGCAGAACACAATTGTGCGTACTTGTAGGAGGCATCAGTTATAGATTGCGGCTGAGTTGATGGCTCGATAGTCACCGTTTGGAAATTAGTTAGCAAGCGCCCACGAATAGCTAGTCTGCGGTCACTCAGGTTTATTTATGAATTCGTATGTTCCTTTATTTTAAGTAGACTTTTGTCCCTATGGAACTTCGGTTTTACTCAAATCCAAGGGTGTAGATTGCGACTTTACCTGGAAATGCTTCCTATTTGGCTTATGCTAGCAAACACCCGTCGCCACCTTGCCTGCCTAGTTAGCAGAAGCCAGTAGACCCGTGTTGCATGTTCCACAATTACTCACAAATTTCAGTAGACATCAAAATTTTTCCTATCCACGCGATGATTTGTAAATTTAAGGCAATCGAGTACCTTTTCATGTCACCGTAGAGGGGGACTTTTTCTTTGTACTGTACTTTCATTTAAGCTTTTAATCAACCTGTTTGTGATTACTTGGAAGTTATTATTTTTAGCATTCAGTTTTATTGATTTTTTCAGTTTTTTGATCTCCTCTCTTACGATTTACTTGACTACTGTTTTTCCTGTTGTCAGAAAAACAATTGGCTCCAGTGTATAGGCAACAAAGCCATTGACTGAAAAGCCTACCTGTCTCCTTCCACCCGCCCAAGGCTGTTTTTCACTAGTCCGCGCACTTTTCTAACCCCGATCATTTTGTAGCACGCCCTAGAGCCGCCCGCAATGGGAGCCCATTCGATTTTTCAGGCAGCGATTGTCGAATGGCGTTACTGATTTCTAGTCACCAGGACCCATTTTCTTCTCGCTTTTGTTCACAAACCTTTAAACCGTTAATTAGTTTGCCTCGACTTGTTGTCTTTTGCTCGCACTAGTAGATGCCTCTGCTACTGGCAGGATTTACTGTAGACCTTGAGGTTGCATAGTTTCTGTGCAGGTATCTACCCCCGATTTGCCAGTAGGTCAGTCACCGCGTCCTCGTGCTTCGTGAAAACTAGGATCGTTTTTTTCGAAGTGGCGGGATGATCGATAAACCTGAACGGTGGGATGACTGATAAGCAATCATGCGAGACGCAGTGTTGGGAGTTGTGGGGTTGATATTTAGCATTCATATATTTTTAAAGCGACACTCGATGCTTTTTCCTTTCATGTGGCCAAGTGTGATTCATCGCGCTACTGTGTTTTCTTTTTCGTGATAACTTGAAAAACACTTCTTAATCTTTGTCTGGGTAGTATGTTTGATCCCTGCACTCATTTGAACAATTACTGTAACCACCTCTAATTTTGCAATTTATAATCCTACTTTTCGAGGTGAAAATTTTGTGTTACATTCCAAAATCTTTGCCCTGTGCGCGAGATTGCTGAAAAGTCCATTGAGAAAAAAGGTCTTCTCACTTATCCTGGAAAACGTTTCCTATTTAGCCTGTATAAAAGGCCTTAGGGGTGTCTTTGTCACCGCTTTAAAGCATTATGTTGCTTATTTTTCGTCAGTAGTTTGTAATTAATGCGTGATTTGAAGTCAATTTCGAAATTTCTCAAAATTCCACTAAAATCACTGTTCACAAAGTTAACGTAAGACAGCTAGGGCATTGGGCAAGTACTGAGATCTGTTACCCTATGTTAGCACGATTCTCACCATCCCCTAATTGGACAGAACAGTTTGGTAATTGAATACTGCTGGGAATTGTGCTGTTGGAGCTAGTTACATTTATGTCTGCTAAAGGTATCGGTACAGTGAAGCGAAATCACCTGTTCTTATCGTTAAAACAACTGGATCCTCTTCGACAGCCGTGTCAGGTCAATTTCTGCTATGCCATTTTAGTGAATGCACTGCCCTGTCTACGCAACCCGTTACTTTTTGCAGCATGTACAGACCTAGGGTACAGTCGAGTTCCTCCAAATGCCACATTGATGAGCATAGCCTGAAGGTTCGTTTTCTCGCTGTGTGGTATTTTAACAAGAGGTTGCAATGACCTTGCCTTGCCAAAGGGGTCAAACTGTTTTGAATGTGGCGCCACCTGCGTAATCGTGTTATGCATAACTCTGATATGGTCTGATTCCAATGCCACCGACCTTGACATCATGTGTTCCGATGATGCTTTTCGTCAGGCGTTGTTGTTGGGATCCACGAAAAGTCTAATTTATCGCTGAGAATGCTGTCAACTGCCGTCACAAAATCCCCGCAATTTGGTTTTGCGGTTGTCATTTAGAGGATAGAGTCGTGGTTTCTCACTATGACTATTCCCATTGTGTTTTTTATTGCCTTCGCTTGATAGCCATGGCGAGTTTCTGCTATTGTCTGATTCCACAGGTTCACCGTTTTGCCGCTGAAACAGAGCCACGTATTGGGCAATTTTCGTTCACCGCCGACGGTATAGATTTCTAATATTTATATCGTTAAATTTTATGGGGCTTTTAAAATTACCACTTGCAATTTGTAATTCACGTTTCTACCAGCACCGGGTGTTTCTGTCTTGTGAAAAGTGTGCCGTAGAACCGTTAAAATATTTTTGGAAGTACAGCTTATTTGTGTCCTTTTGGTGTTGCAAAACCGCCCAGTACTGCCGTCTGACGTTGCGTAAACTTCGTTTAAACGTGTTTTTTGTCGCCTAGATGTCGTTCTTTTGCGAATAACTACTTTCGTGGAACATTAACCGTCCGTGACGGAAGTCAATAGTGCGTAACGGCACGCAGAATCTACTACATGTATAGCCTAATTTGGGCAGATTTTTTAGCAAATTTATTTGACATAAAGAGGTAGAGAACAGCAAACTTAATTGTGGAAACATTATCCATCGTTTTCTATGACCTGGCGCCACCTCTCAGGTAATGTGTGAATACCGTCGCGAAAGGAACTTGCAGCCTTCGAGACAATGAAGTCATCAACGACGAATTTACGCACACCGTCCAACGCTTTGAACTGCTCATCCACTAAGGCGTGCTGTGGGCGAACTTCCAATCCCACTTTCACGAGGGTCTTCTGAGTCGCGCGTGTAACGTGACGTGGTCGAAAGCTGTCATGCAGCAGTATGACGTACCTACTTCCTTGCCCAGCAAATGGCCTTTTCTAATCAAGTTCCTCTCAGTTTGTTCATTTGTCGGTCTTAGTGTTCCGCAGTAACCGTCTGACGACCAGTTCCAGGAGTGCGTAATAAAGTGCACCTTTCATTTCCCATAGGCGAACCTTCTTCAAGTGGATGTCTTGTTTCGGCGTCGGTGTACTGGGCTGCGTTTGGCATTCTCGTAAAAACATACATTTTATCACCCGGCATAATTTTTCACTGGAATTTCTTTTTTGTAGCAGGCCCAAAATCCAAGCTTTTGAATTTTTCCAATTTGGTAGTGCAGACGCTTGGAAATAGGTGTTTGGATGATTCCAAACTGAGCTGAAAGCTCTTGTTGCGCTTGCGCTGAGTCTTCATCCAGTAGAGCTTGCAATTCTGCGTCTGCAAACTTTCGGGGCTGCTGTCCGGGGCGTGGCTGGTCACTGGGATGGAAATCACCGCGTCTAAAACGTTTACAGCAATAACTGCGCGTTTCATAAGACACAACGTAGGCTCCGAAAACACTACACGTGGATTCTCGTGCTTTGGAATAGTTTTTCCCCGTTGGAATTCGTGTAGAATGCAGTGACGTCGAATGTGATGTTTATCAGTTGCCATCATAAACTCTGTAATTCAGAGGGGTAATGTAATACGCCTCAACTTGTCCTGTGTTCTGAACCCTTGCATTCCATCCTTACAAAAACACGAAATACCGCCAAAATATTACTATTTTAAACATAATTTTAAGCTTGAAGAAAATATCTTTAAATTAAATCATACACCTAATATTTTTATCGACAGTTGGTTAAATTGACCTCAAGAATCTGAGAATGCATTATTCACGCCGCTGGCGTCCATCGGCGTGCTGCGGTTCGCGTCTTGTTGTGCAACCGAGGCAGGATCATCTTAATTGTCCTAGTAAACTGCCTCAGCTACCAACCGTATTTAACTCATTTCCTTTCTACATGCACTTTTGACGATCTACGTCTGTGATACCGAGGTACCTGTAGTTGTCTGAGCAGGTGCAAATGCCTCTGCTGACGTTTGCCCTCAACCGAAACACCTACAACTGCTTACCCCGTTCATCGTTTCCATGATTTTTTTAGGCCAGGCGTTTATCGGCTTTGATTCTATCGAACTGGCCACCCAGGCGCTGGAGGCCGCTCACGGTTACCTTCTAAACGGGAAGCCAATGCACGTCCAATTTGCACGCGGTGCTATTGCCAAACCAGATCCCAAAAGCTTCATAATTAGTGGCGATTGACGCTACCCCGATGTTGGCTCATTTTACCCGGCTTTTTGTAAATAAACTACTTTATACGTGTGATTTCTTACCCCTTATTTTCGCACACTCAAAAACTGGATAAACTCGGTAAATTATTAGAAATCGGGGAGGGGTTTTAGCTTTGCTGAGTATAAAGCACTTTCTTTTTGTTTTAATGAGTCGCATAAGAAGAGGTTGTTTGCTTGTTCTTCTGGGCAGCCACCAGACGTCAACTCATTTCTACGAAAGAGGAAATGAGTGCCACAGGGGTCAAAGAGGCGTAAATGCTTATTGGTGGTAGGACTAGCTGCAGTAGCACAATCCGATTTATAACGTAGAATCGCACTGCCACTTTAATTTCGTCATTGGTAATGAACCTGAAACCCAATGTCTCCTCTGGGCTTTAAGTATGTTACGACAATGTGCTTGGCTCTCTACTCATTTCCATGCTGCACATAAAAAGCCTCATGTTGCCGTGGTTTCGCTTTGTACTAGACTACTTTATTGCCAATATTAGTTTTAAAATTAGATTCTGATCTAACTTTGGTGATCTGGTGCAACGGTAATTTCTATGTGACGCTATCTTGCGAGCCACAGTGTGAGATTCTCATTAGATTATTATTATTCTCTGAATAAAACTGTGAAAATTGTTTCTGTGCGACTAATTAAAGTGCACTCTTAGCTGGTGAAATATGCTTCCAGATTATGGAGTTTTTCCAACTTGGCTCAGGGGCCACTCGAATCATAAATTAAGGTTAAGTGGTGTGATAGGTGCAGAACAGTGGTTTCATTCATTGACCTACCTCCAATATCGCACCATGAAATGGAATGACCGTTGCCTTAGAATCCGAGGAACTCTTTAGGCCAACTACGCAAAATATAAAAAGTAAATGCAGAAAAAACCTGTGTCACTTACCTGGTTTTCTTTTTTGCTTTCCGATTGCGTTTATTTGTAAGCTAGCTTTAGTGGATGACCCTACTTCATGTTCCACTCAGCCCAAAGTCTGGCAATCACTGAGAGTAACTTTGAGCTGATGCTAGTTCTTAGTTATTCTTATGAAAGAATTAATCTAAATTTAACTGCCAGCTATTTCCCATCAAGAAATTTCTTTTCAGTTGAACACTTCCTAGGCTTTTAGTACCGAAATTGTTCATGAAACTTCATATGCACTCATACTTGTCGAGGAATAATACCTCAACGCACCGAAATTCCCACAAATTGAGTGGATTCATTCCATCAAAATATTGTATTACAAGTGGTATTGAAAGCCAAAAACACTGGTATGCATTAGCTATGCTATTCCATTCAACTTTGTGTTATGCTATGCACAAAATGTAGATAATTGGGAACCGTGTATGCGAAGCGATTTCAAGTAACTTTCATCGGGAAAGCAAATTCGCTAAATTTACCAGGTTACTAACATATGAGGCCAAGGATGACACCACCTAAGTGGCCTTCAGATTCATTCGCCTGATGTGGAGAATTTTCTATTGGCAATGAAGAGAAGGTCACACGAGTCACCCCATGCATGCCCTCGTAGAATTGCCGTGGTTTGAGGCTGGGGATCGACAACCTTCCAAATATTCCTCTGGTAGAACCTGATTTAATGTGAGATTTTATTGGGGTTAAAATCTAGGTACTTGAAAACATCGGTTATTGAATTGAAACGAGATTAATTTCGCAAATTGGGGATCTTTTCTGTTTTCCGTCGATTATAATGTCATGTTCACAATTGTCTAGACAATATTTTAACCATGATTCATATAGGTTACGCTTTGTTTTAGCTGAGATGAAGTTCATAGCTTTGAAATCGGGAATTTCTGGTCCTTCCAAAAGTATTTTTGAAGTGGTGCTTGCAGCACAGCTATACAGAAAAGGGATTATCTGCCAGTACTCGGCTCCCGGCCTTGTTGAAATCTTGTAATCGGCTTCCACTATGCCAATAATTTGTGTTCTATGGTCGCAATTGTGAGATTTTTCGCTTTTAATTTATTATCATGTATACGTACAGGAGAGGGGGTCAGAATAGCTTCAGAAGATAACACAATTGTGCATAGGCTTCGCGTACAAATTATATGATAGGTGATAATGTAGGGGTTGTGAAAGCACTAAAGCCTTGGTCATAATGTAAACAGGCTTCTGTTAAAGAGCGTAATTTAGTATGCGGCGTTCATTTATCACAAAAGTTAGGCAGTTCCCGTTGTTATCGTGGTATGATTCGTTAAACTAGTTTAACATGAGACACAAAGCCCAAATCATGGTAGAATTAGCTCCCAGCGTTAAAATAATTACGTTTTACTGAACAACGCAGCAGTGCCTGGTAGATAAAAAATTACAAATCAATAAAAATAAAAAATCCGTAGGGTGTGCTCTTTAGAGGATACACTCGGAAGGATACACTTCACCGCCTCGCACAAAAAGGTATCCTGCCATTTGGGCTTCAAGTCGTACCCTAGAATTGGACTTCATGGAATCGCTGATGAATCCGATCACGTCTAAGGTAATGCAAGAATCAGCAAACAGTCTAAAGATGTCCGTGCTAGAGCTAGATAACTAACCTCTCCTTCTTAGTCTATGTCGTTTGCCTTGAGTTGCCTGGTAGTTTTATCTTTAGCTACAGGTTTTATAGTTGTTGACAGTAGTTAAAACGTTCAACCTCACCTTGTATGCGCTAGAAAGTATTTCGATTCGTGGGGCGACAATTGCGCAATTCTATTACAGCTCATTGCCATATGACCGTAGTCATAGATTTTAACACACTTATATGCGGTTAATATGACATTAAAATTTATTTAAAAATATTGTCATATACGACATGGATGTCCTTCCGTGCTAAGGCCGTGATTTTAAACGGCTGCTGGAGAATAGTAATTGGTTCTGTTCTGCGCATGCTTCATCCTCACCATGCTTCCAAATTTCCATGAGTCTTAGACGTCATGTCTAGCGCTCAACTCCACTGAAACCGTAAAGTATCTCTAGTTGTGAGCAATTTGGTCGTATGTTCGCCTACTTCAGCCCCTATTTTGACTCCTTAGCGATAATTAGATGAGCAAAACTGTTCGCATGTAACTGCCCACTGTTCCGTTTGAGGAAGGGATTGTGCTGTTTAGTTCGTCAACTAACTTAAGCCCTTTGCAAACCACATTTAAATGGCCAAGTATTTTGGTGTTTCCAAACCTTATTTACCTTCTCAGACAACTGATATGTGAGTGGGCTTATGATGGTTATTTGGATTCTAGTAACATTTTGGGTGAAGCACATGGTAGTAAAATGAATTTGTCTTCGTTAAATAATGGGGCGCATCTAGTACTTATTTATATTAGGAAATTTGAAGCCCTTTCGTCCCTCAAATCAACTTTTAATAACTTGAAAAAAAAAGATTTTGAATAAATGATTATTTTTGTAAACTATTTAGATTAAAACCTGTTATGGTAGACACTGGGATCTACTTGTTAAATATAAAAATTAATTGCTACTGATGACTGGATGATATAAAGTTGAGAAAAGGAGGCGTGCCAATTAAGCGATGACTGGGCTTGAAGTAATGCTTTTTTTTACATGGCACGGCAGTGTTTTAATGAATGACACCCTTCTAATTGAATTAGGTGCTTCTTGGCTGTGATCGTTTAGCTGGTTTGTAAGCCCGTTATGCTATTGAGAAACGGTCAATGTCCATTAGGATCTGTATCGAACTTAACTGAGCCCAAAAGTTGCAAATTTTATGTGTCGTCTGACGTTTTATTTTGCGTATTTCAAACAAAGTTCTTGCTTTTATTGATTTGAATGTTCTTTTGCGCCACCTTTATCAACTGCAATTGCTGATCCAGACTCTAAACGTTGAATCTCTTCAATCAGGTCGTTTTTAATTGAACAGGGGGTGGTGGTGCTAAAGAAATTGCATGCTTTTGAGACCAGGTGGCACTCGCACCTTTCAATAAGTGGGGTGCGTTAACAAAATTACACTCTTCAAACCTCATAAAAGTCTCTGCATTACTTGCATCTGAAATAAATTGGACAGAATAAATTGACATTCATCCCTAATTGAGTATGGGTAGTCTGTGTTAAAACGGGATTTTTGTGAAAAATTTTCGGTGGCTATCACTTCAGGTAACTCGAAGAATTTGAAAATTTAGACTTTTGAATGAGACTCACATGAATCGAAAAGTACATCAAAAAACTGCTACTGGGCTATCGAGGTGGAGAAAATCAAATCAATCAAATGAAAACATATCATTGTCCACACTTGCGCTTCTTCAATAAATGCTCTTCGTGTTGAATTTAGTGAGATGCATGTGTCGTAATAGAATTAAAAGGAACGGAAATTACACATTCTATCGTGAACTGCTTAATATCATCAGACCTGGGACTTATTAGGATGTGACTGCGGAAAGTAGCCCAAACACACCTGAAAATCTTGTTGGTTATGAATAATTATTGGTAAAGGTATCGGAAATTCGCGTGGAATTATAGGGCATTTCTACTCAAGAGATTTTTGCGATGGTGTGCGTCAGATAGGAACCTATGCGCTACATCCAATAGCCTTGGTCATAGTGTTATGCACGTCAGCATACATGCTTCACATGATCCTGCCACGCGTGGGTGACAACATTTTGCTGCTGTCTGTTTAATTTGCCCATCTGTCCAACCACATCTTGATGCAAGTAACTTCATCGACTGTCTGGACTCTCTACTAGTCTCTACCTTCTGATTCGTCGGAACACCACGGAGTAGACTAACTAGATATTCCTGATTTATGTATTCCCAGACTTGTTTTGAAATGCAATGATCGTATATCTTAATTTGACTTGAAAATAAAACTAGGAAAGTTAGCTTTGAAGTACAATATTTCAACCTTAAACCTATTACCTTTTAAATATAACTGTAAACGTGTGGATAGGATTTCTGACACTGCTTAGTCCTCGCCTTTGGTGTAGACTCAGATTTATCAAATTAGAAAAATAATATAAAGCTAGTTATTCAATATAATTGCTTCAGCAAA